CGAAATTTAAATAATTAATGATTGAATTATTTAAATTTGAACTAAGGATTGAAAGAAATAGCTTAAAAATATCTAGATTAAATAGGTTTAATTATGATGAGTTTTTCGAACTTTTTGATCCTTAATTTAGAGGATATTTTAATATATAAGATGTACTTTTTTATCAACTAAAATAAAATAAAATATATTTTATAAAAAAGGTTAGAACAACTTTTAAAGAACATTAAATTGATATTACAGAGTCAGAATCGAATTTCTTATTTGAAAGACTAGATTGTAAATAAAGAGATTAAATTATTAATTATATTGAATTTATTAATGAAATATAACCACATTTGGCTAAAAATATGGTTTTAAATAGGTTTACGTAACAAGATAAATAAAAATAAATAAAGAGCATGAATAATTTAATAAATACATAATTGCAATTATAATCGAGATCGGAATTATCTAATAATGACTTTACAATGTATAATATATCTAAATTCGGAACTCTAAATAATATTAAATGAAAATAAAATAAGATTAAGTTTTTATTAATTTATTAAGAAATAAAAAAATAAAATAAAAATATTTATAAATAAAAAAAAATATAATAATATATATATATATATATATATATATATATATATTAACAAATATATATATATATATAAATTTTATTTTAAAAATTTACATATCTATATAAATAATATTTATTAATTTTTTTTTAATATATATAACTAATATTTTTATTTTAAATATATAAAAATTATTTTTTAATTATAAAAATTCAATACTTATTCTTTTTTTTTTTCTGTTAATAGTTTTTATTATTTCTTTTATAATAAAAAAAATAATTTAAGAGTAATATAAATATATTAATAAAATATTCTTTGTTAATATTTACATAATTATTTATCGTTATTTTAATTTTTACTAAATTTATAAAATTTATGAGATTATCTTAATCATTATAGAAAAATTTGTAAAAAAAGATTTCAAATAGGGAACATTTTATTTAATTATAAAGCCCTTCAATATAAAATTCATAATTAATCAATAAAAATTAATATAATGAAACTATTTTAAATTCAAAATAATCTAAAAAATAAGAATACTAAGCTTTTTCTTCTAGTATACATTAAAAGGCAGTTAATATTATTAAAAATTCTAAGTAACAAAATAATATTTTTATTTTAAAAAAATAATAATATAAAGAAATAATTTAAAATAAGAATAAAATCAGTTAAATGAATAGAGAAAAATAATAAAAAATTAATAAATTTAAATTTAAATGCTTTTAGAAAAAGTAAAAAATATTCAATATTTTATTATAATTGTCTAATATAGGAAGTACAATTAAGATAAAATCTTTAAAATTTATAAAAATTTAAAGAAGAAAGACTAGAAGAAATAATATAAAAATAAATAAACGAAAACTTGAATTAAACTTTATAAACTTAATAAGAAATAAACTAAGAAATAAAATAATATTAGTATTAAATAAAGGAAACAATACAATAATAAATAGAATATATAAAAGAAATACAATTAAAATATATATAAGGAGATACAAATTTAAATACAATTAATAAAGATATTTTAAAACAAATATAGGAATCCCAAAAATAAATAAATAAAACTTTCGAAAATTACGAATAATAAACGAATTCTAAAATAACAAATTTATAAACTGAATTTTATTAAAAAATAAAAGATATATAGAAATAATAAGAATAATAAATAAATATATATTTCAAATAAAATGACCCTTTAAAAGAACTAAAAGAAGATTTAGACTAAAAATATGAGAATTTTTATCAAAAATAAAAACAGTATATATATTAATTATTTGATGAAATAAATTTAATTGATAAAAAACAAAAACTAAAACATGAATTTATTTAAAATATAGATTAAAATTTAATCTAAATAATAAATAATTTAAATATTTTTCAATAAAGACATGGAATAAACTAAAACAATTCAAATACTGATATAATAAAATAGTTAGTTTGGGAAAAAATACAAAAAATTTAAATACAATATAAAATACAAATAAATAAATCTTCATAAATACTTCAATAAATGCAAAAATAAATTAGAATTTTAATATAAGAAAATTATAATTTAAAACATTACTATAATAATAAGAACCGAAAGTAATTAATCCAGGAATTAAATTAAACACATTCGAACCAAAAATAGTTCATTATGAAATTAAAATGACTCCAAAAAAGCCCAGAATATTTACTTTGGCAAATTTTTAATCTCCTATTATTCGTAGTACATAAAATTAATAAAAAATAAATTTATCTTAAGTAAATTTATAATAAGAAAAAGTGGGGGTAAAAGATGGAAGTATATTCAGAAACAAATCCTCATCTTATTATAAGTTTCCTTAAAGTACTGAAAAATTATTATTTTCTTAAACAAAATCAAATATTCTAAACCCAAATTTTATACTTCCAATAGTATTTTAAAATGAGGAAACATTAAGAACCGAGAATAAATTTTAAACTTCATTTTATTAAAATCAAGAATTATATAAAGAAAACGAAAAATAATAAAAACATTGAAACTATCGGGAAAAAAAAATAAAAAAATATACATATATTTATAAATAATTTAAACAGAAATTAAATATTAGTGTAATCATTTTTTATATATTTTTAAATAAATATATATGGACAATTAATCCAATTATGTATTTTTTTATTACAAATACTCGGCATATATACTTAAATTATCCTATAAACATTATTATTATGTGCATATAGAGAATGTATATTTATGTTTTTAATTAGTTATACCATTTAAAATTAATAAATTACATTCATTTAGTTTTATATTTTAATAAAGAATATGGTCACATGTCATAGTTGACAAAAAGACAGTAAAAATAAAAAAATATTGAGTATTTTTTGTTTTAATTGTTTTTAAATAGAAAATAAAATAAAATAATTTCTTATTAATTTTAATTAAAAATATAACTTTTAAAATAAAAAGTTAATTTTATTTAAAGTAATAAAAGAGACTTATAGTTTAATATATTTTTCCTTTATTTAAAAATTCATTTTTTTTTGGTTATAAAAATTCTTATTTAATTCCTTCTTTTTAACAAAGAAAATTCGAAAATATTCTCAATTATTAAATTTAAAACTCTTTTAAACGAATACCATTAATCGAAAATTATTTTTAATCTTTTTTTTAGCATAATTTTTTCTTATTTTCCGGCTTTTTTGTCAAAAGAATATATAAATATAGAGTGAATAAACATATATATATATGATATTTTATATTCAAAAATAAACTCAAAAGTACACTATAATAAACAATTCTTTATAATGTTTTATTTGAAATAACTTCTTTTATATCAGCTAGAAAAAAGTCTATATTTTAATTAAAATATATTATTTTTAAGAATATCTTTATAGTGTAATTTAAAGTCTTTCTTATGAAAAAATTTAATATTGTTTATTCTAAAAAAATTATATTACTTCACATCTTTTTTATTTTTATAAAAAAAGACTAGTCAGCTAATAGTTAATATATTCATTGTTCTTCAAATTATAATCCTTTAAAGCTATTTTTTATCGATTTTTTATATTTAATATACTATAGAGTTCAATTTGATATTAAATTATTGTCGATTTTAAAGTATTTTATATAAAATATTATGGTATTATAACATGAAATGAATTATAATTATGTATATATGGACATTTTTTAATTAATTAATTATAATTTATTTTTATTTTTGTAAATAATAATAATTTTTATATTTAAAAGAAAAAAAATATTATTTTTTTTCATTTGTTTTAGTTCAAAGTTTAATCATATTCTATTTTCAAATTTTATACTTTTTAATTCAAAATTTGACTATTAATACTAGCTTCTTTTAATGATTATTAAAAACCGTCTTTTTATTATTTTATTTAATTCCATCTTTCATATTCTTATTTTTCAATTTAAGATTTATTTGATTATAAAGAATTATAATTACTGCATTTCATTTATTATAACTATTTTTTTTCTTCTTTTAAATATGATATTTCATCAACTATTTCTTTTATTTATTAATTTTATTAGTTTAATAGATTACTATCATATTACTATAAAAAATATATAAAAATAATGAAAGTAAAAGACTTATAAATATATATATATTTATATATATATATATATATATTATTTATATTATTTATATTATTATATTTACATATTTATATATATTTTTATATTTAAAATAACTACTTCGTTTTAATTTTTCTAGATCAATATTTGTTAATCATTCTATTTATTAAATTTCACTAAAAGTTCTATCAAAAAAATTAAAATTTTAATTTATAAAATAATATACCGTTATATTATAATTTCTAATTATGAAGTTCTTCATTTAGTTTTAGTTTTTCATTTAAAATTTCATTAAATTATTATATTTATTTTTATTTTTCCTATAAATTTATATATAAATTATATATAAATAATATAAAAAAGTTTTTAACATTTTTAAGTATATTCTAGAAATTTTCTTTTTCTACTTAAATTTACTAGTTTTTTTCCTAAATTTAATAATATAACAATTCTAATTCTTAAACAATATCTTTTTGATTCCCTAAAGTATCCAAAACCCTTTATTTATTTTAAAGAATTTCTATTTCTTATTAAAGTCCTTCTATTTAATTCAAAAGTTCTTTTTCTTTATTTTAAAGATGTTCTAAATTACTTTAAATAAAGACTTCGTTTTTTTCAAATTCGTGATTTTTTTAAAAAAGTTCTTTATTTTAATAAATTAACTCAAAGTTAATTTTCTCATATTAATCGATTTTATTTTCTTAGTTTTAAATTTTCAAAAAGCACTAATCTTTTTCATTTTCAATTTTTTTTAATTTTCCTAAAATTTCTTTTTTTTCTTATTCATAAAAAATAATGATTTTTTCGTTCTCTTCTTTCACAAAAAGACCCTCCTGATATAAATCCTTATATTAAATTTAAAAAAAGTTCGTCTTTTCTTCCAAATCAGTTATTTATCTTTCCAAAAAAACTTTTTGTTCCTAAAGCAAATCTATTTTATCAAACAAATCTTATATTTTAGAATTTTTTTCATTCAATTGATTTTCCAATTAGTCTAGTCTATGCAAATTTATTTCGTTTTTATTTTTTAAATCTTCGTTCGAGTTTTTAATTTTTTTCTATTCCTTTAAAATTTCTAAAATCTCCTTTTTTAAATTGAAATTATCTTCGCATTTTTCGTCCAGTAAATTTTGAATTTCGTCCTTATTTTTTTCTTGATCAAAAATAATTTTATTTTTCTCGTTTATTTTTTCACTTAAATCTTCCTAAATTTTCCTCAAATTTACATTTTCTTCCCGATAAAAATTTTTCTCTTTTTTTCCTTTAAAAAAGTACACTCAAATTTTTCTTAAATTTCCTTTGAAATCTTCTCTTTATTTTATAATAAAATCTATAATTATTCGTTTTTTTTTCAATTTATTTCATTTAATTATCTTTATTTTCTATAAAAAATCTCATTTCTTTCATTTTTTCTTCCCAAAATTATATTTATACCTCTTTTTATCCTAATTTTTATTCAAAATCCTTGTTTTTTTCCTCTAATAATATTATTTTTTCTTCCAAAAGTTTAATTTTTACTAAATTTTCATCTTTTTCCTATTATAAATTTTATATTCTTTTCTCTATATTATCCTTTTCTTCCAAAATATCATTTTTTTCTTTTAAAAATTTACTTTTTCTTCTTTTTCTTTTCTTTCATTTTCTTCCTTTGAAAATCTCAATTTTTCCTCTAAAATTTTCTTCTCTAAATTTTCCTTATTTTCCTTCTCGGTTTTTTCCTTTAAAAAAAATCTATATTTTTCTTCCAAAACGTCCATTTTATTTATAATTTCTTCCTCTTTTTCACATTTATCATCATATTTTTTACTTAAACCTACTATTTTTTCTTCCAAAAAAGCTCTATTACCCAATTCATTCTATAATTCTTATTTTAAAACAAATATTTCCTCATCTTTTACCTAATAACTTTTCTATAAAGACTCCAATTTAGTTTTAAAGAGTTAATTTTCTCTCTATAAATGCAACTTTTCATCCTTTTATTATTCCAAATCTTATTTTAATTAAAAGGCTTAATTTTAAAGGGCTAAAATGTCCTATTTTAATAAAAAAGCGTTTTATTTTTATTCCGAAAGTGCAATATTTTCCTAATTTTTTTCTTCTAATTTTTCATTAAATTCACTAAGAATTTTTTTGAGATTTTTGTCTTAATTTTAAAGCTAAAAAATTTCTTCATTTAAAAAATTTATTTTCTATTCAAAAGATTAAATTTGATTTTGTTAATTTTTTTTTTCTTCATTTAAATTTTCTTCCATTTTTTTCAATTTAATATGCTCTTTTTCCAAAAAAACTTATTTTTCCAAAATTTCGGTTTTTTCTCTTTCCAAAAAATAAATTTTCTCTTATAAATTTACATTAGTTGCTTTTAAAAATTAAATCTCTTTTTTATCTTTTTCAATTTAAAATATTTTCTTATCTTCTTCGACTTTTTCTTCATTTTATTTCATCAAATTTTATTCACTATGTATTTATTCATTTATTTCATCCTTTTTTTTAGTTCTTCTTTTAAATTTTAATATTAAATATTTATTAATTCTTCGTTTCTTTTTAAAACATCTATTTCTTTCTTATAAATACAAATCTTATTTTATTATTTCTATATGTTTGTTTCCAATTCTTATATTTTTATTTCTTTATCCTTTATTTCTTAAAGATAATCTGATAATTTATTTAAAGTCTCATCTTTACTTGATTTTATATCTTCAATTAATTAATTAAAAGCTTTTTTATCACTATAGTAAGCATTTTATATTTATTCTAGTTATATTTTTTTAAAAATATATATATTTTTTAGTTTATTTTATAAAATATATATGTTTCTTAGTTTATTTTATAAATTATATATATTTTTTAACTTTTTTTGTTAATTATATATATTTTTAACTTTTTTTGTTAAATATATATATTTTTATAATTTTTAAATAAATATATATATATTTTTAATATATATATATATATATGTTTTTATTTTTTTAAAAAAATATATAATTTTTACCTGCTTTTTCTCCATAACTTTTCATTTATTCGTTTATTTATAATAAATTTTAAATAGTTTAATTTTAATCTTGTAATTTTAATTCTTTTTATTCATTTTCTTAATGATATATTTATTATTAATTTAAAATTTAATTAATTTCTTTTTAATGCTTTTTTATTTTATTTATAAAACAAAATAATAATAATAAAAAAAAAATACATCATATTTTAATTAATTTTCTCTTTAAAATTATTATTTTTACATATCATTAATTTGCTATTATAAATTTTCATTCTTTTAATTCTATATATGAATTTCACTTTTAATTGAAGATATGTTTCTTTTATCTATTTATAATTAATCTAATTCCTTGTTTATTTTATAATTTTCCTTAGTTAAAAAATCTATTTAATTATTAAGAACTTCTATCTTATTTTATTATTATTAATTAAGATAACTTTATTTTATTTTTTCTTCATTAAAATTTTCTCCTTTTTTTTTAAAAAAAAATAAATAAATAAAAGTTGTAATATACCTTTATTTATTTGCATTTATAAACGAATTATTTCTTATTCTCTATTCTTTAATTAGTCTTCTATTTATTTTATTTTTTATTCTAATAAATTCTTGTTTTATTTTAAATCATTTATTTATTTGTTTTATTCATTTAATTTGTCCTCCTTTTATTTTATTTATTCTAATTATTAAGTGTTTTCTTTATTTCTCTTTATATAAATTTAATATTAAATATAAATCATTAAATAAAAGTACCATATTTTATATATTAGCAACTTCCTATTATAATATTTAGCTTAACTAAAAACTATTATTATTATCTTTTTTATTAGAATTCATAAAATTAGAATTATTTAAAGGCACATTTTCAAAATTATTAATACCTGTTTTATCTTGTTTAAGTAAAAAACACTTTTTTTTATTTTTTTAATAAAAAAATAATTAAGTTAAGTATATATTTATTATTTTATTTTAAACTACCTCATTTTTTAAATTTTTCAAATTGTTTTCCTTTTATTATAAAGTAAATTTATAATCTTTTATTTAACTTTCGAAAGAATTTTGAATAGCTTTGAAATTTTCAACTTAAAATTGTTCACTTTCTTTAACTTTCATTAAACTCAAATGTAATTTGTTATTTTCTTGAATTAATTTAGAATTTTCAAATTTTAAAGATTCTATTAATGTATTATCTTAACTTTTCGGATTATTCATTTGTTTTTTTAATGTTTAATATTTATCGGTTGTATTTATTAAATCATTAAGAAGCTTTTATACTAAATTACTTGATTATTCATTAAACGGAAAGTTGTAGTTTAATGCATCTAAACGTTTTTTTAATAAATTATATTTTTTTCTTATTAACTTTACATTTTTTTTTTTTAAAAAAAAAATTATTTTTATTTTATTAAAAAAAAAAAAAAAAAATATTTATTTATACAAATATATTTATATTTATTTATTATAATAATTTCAAATATAAATTTAAATAATTAATATATAAAAATCAATAAAATAAATAAATACAGAAATTAATTTTATTTAATTAAAATATAAACTTAATTAGTTAATTAAAAATTAAAAATGTTAATTTAAAAATATATATAAAGAAATTTGTATTTATAAAATGTTAACTAAAGAATATTATTTTTAAAATCAATATATATATATATATATATAACATTTGAAAAAATACAGTTATTGAAAATCGAAAAAAATTTCAAATTAATTATCTTAACAACAAATAAATATTTTTTTTTGTTTAAAAAAAAGCATAATTATAAAAAACCAAAAAAAAAGAAAAAAAAAAAAATGAGCCAAACAAACATAGAACCAAATAAAGAAAACCCTGAAAAACTAAACCCAAACCCCGACCATAAAATAGTCGAAGAAAAAATAACTCGTAAAAACGGAGAAATAATAATGAAATAATACATCAAAGGAAAGCTTTTAGGTAGAGGTGGTTTCGCAAAATGTTATGAAATAACCTCAATAGAAGGAAAACTAACATTTGCTGCCAAAATAATCCCCAAAAACACTCTAAAAAAAAGCCGTTAACGTCATAAGCTAATTCAGGAAATAAAAATTCATAAAAGCCTTTAACATTAAAACATAGTATAATTCGAACATGTATTTGAAGACCATGAAAATGTATATATTTTACTCGAATTATGTCCATATTAAACTTTAAACGAATTAATAAAAAGAAGAAAGCGCATAACGGAATATGAAGCATAAATATATATAATGTAAATGGTAAATTCTTTAATACATTTGCACAACAAAAAAATAGTCCATCGTGATCTTAAACTAGGAAATCTTTTTTTGGGCAAAAACATGACTTTAAAATTAGGTGATTTTGGCTTAGCAACAAAAATAGAATATGAAGGCGAAAAGAAGACGACAATATGTGGCACTCCAAATTATATAGCGCCTGAAATTCTAGAAGGAAAAGAAGGACATTCATATGAAGTTGATGTTTGGTCTTTGGGGGTTATTATTTATACACTTTTAATCGGAAAAGTAAAAAAAATAAAATAATTTTATCTATATATATATTTATATGTATATATATATATGTATTAATATATATTTATATGTATATATATATATGTATTAATATATATTTATATATATATATATATATTTTAAATATTATACACCTATATATATTTATTTATAAATTTTTATATACCACTTTAATTTATTTAAATAAACTTAAATATAGCCTCCTTTTGAAACTAAAGACGTGAAATAAACTTATAAAAGAATACGCTTAAATAAATATTCTTTTCCTGAAAATTGCACTATTTCAGAATAGGCTAGATCTCTTATCGTTTCAATGCTTATACTTGATCCCTCTAAAAGACCTACAATGGAATAAATACTAGAGCATCCTTTTATGTCTTGTGTAGATAAAAATCCTTAAACTCTACCTGTTTCTTCATTATCAGTTCCTTATAAAGAACATTAGAACCAAAATTAGAATTAGAATTAATAATAAATAAATTAAAATTAAAACAGGTAAACATAATCATTATCGAATTTCCGAAAAAGCACTTTAAACGAAAAAAACACTAATTAAATTATCTCTTAAAACACATCAAATGTAAATTATAAAAGCCAAAATCAAAAAAACTAATTCAGAGAAAATATACCTCCACCAGATTTATAAAACAGATAATAAGTAATTCCCCCTGCTACTGAAGTTTGGGTTGTTTCCTGGGTAGATTATTCAAATAAATATGGACTTGGATATTGTTTATGTAACGGTGCCTATGGTGTTTATTTTAATGACTCTTCTAAAATAATATTAGACTCAGGTGAATGTTATACTGAATATTATGAAAAATAATAATCAAAATAAGACGAAATTATTTCTTTTAATATAAATAATTATCCTTCCTAATTAAAAAAAAAAGTTACATTACTTTAGCATTTTAGGAGTTATTTATCTAAAGAAAGATAAAATTTTGTTAATAATATTTAGAAATAAATAACAAATTAAGTTTATGTTAAAAAATGGATGAAAACAAAAGATGCGATTATATTTAGGCTATCAAATTAAACTGTACAAGTCAGCTTTTCTGATAAAACTGAAATAATCCTTAATAGCCATAAAAAAATAGTAACTTATGTAAATAAATAATAATAAAGACTCAATTTCCATCTTTGTTAATATTTAAGTTAATATAGCTAAGATATGTAAAAAAGAATGAAATATACTAAAGATATTCTTACTTAAATGGTTGTTAAAACAAAACCAAAAGAATAAATTTTCTAAAATAATATTAACGAAAATAAATTAAGTACTCTTAATTTTTAATAAAATATAATTCTTAGTAATAAAAATTGATTTTGTTATTTGTATTTTTTTTATATATCTTTTTGACAAATTTTAATATAATTTTTCTTTAATATTGAATTATATTAGAAAATTTAATTTATAATATGGAAAATATATTTTTTATTAATTAATATTAAAGGTTTTTTATATTATATATACTTTTAAATGTAGTTATTATATTTAATTATGATTTTTTCTTTTGTCAAATATTTTTTAATTATGAAGATGATGAATATAAAAAATTATTATATTTTATTATATAAAAATGAATTATAATAAAAATATTAAACTAAATTTATTTATTTAAATATATAAATATATTTTATTTTATATAAAAAAAAAAAATTATAAAAAAATTATTAATAATTGTAAATATTAAAAAAAATAAAAAATTATAATATATATTTAAAAGAAAAAATATTAAAAGCAATAAATCCAATTGAAAGAGAATTTTTTATTTAGTTTAAATATTACTAAAAATAAATATATAAAATAATAATAATAATAAAACATGTAAGTATGGTGAAAAAATAAGAATTATATATGTTTAATGAAAATTCATATGTTTTATAAAAGTTGTAAATATATATATAAAAAATAAATATTAATATAAATAAATTATATAAACAAATATATATAAAAAATATATATTTATATTTTTATATATATATATATCTCGATATAAATCTAAATATATCTATTTATTTATATTTTTATATTTTCAATTAATCTTTATATTTTTTTTATTTATTTATAATATAAATAATATATTTAAATATACATATTAAAATTCATTTTATATTAGAAATATATATAAATTTTACAAAATATATATCTTTTAAATTTGAATAGTTTTATTTTTACAAAAATAAAATAAATTATACAATTATTATATATATAAAATAATTTATGTATATAAAATTAATATACTTACTTATATTTTTTTTATTTCAGCTAAATTAATTAATTTATTTTATATGAATAAAAAAAAACATAATAAAAATAAAAAAAATTCAAATAAATAAATACACAAATATATAAAATATTTAAAAAATATTAATATGAATTTACAAGAACCAATAATAAATATTTTAAATTAATCAGAGAACTTACATTAAGATTTAAGATAAGGTCATTAATATAGACGTTCTTTATTATCTTCTAAATCTGGTTTGATAGGTTATTCCAAAAAAGATATTGAAGATGAAAACTTATCAAATAAATTTTCAGTTTCTGGAAATTTATCAAATCGTAAATTTTTCAGATAAAATAATTCAAATAATAGTTTAGCAAAAAGCATAAATATAAAACAGCATTTATCACCTAGAATGATAAATATTGAAAATTAAATTAATTTGAATTAACCAAATATATTTTCTCCAAAAGATACTGAAAGAGAAAAACTTCCTTCTATAAATGTATTATAAGAATAATATGAAAATTAAGTAAAAGATTTAAATGAATAAAAATAATCTGAACAAATAAAGAATAGTATGACATAAACAACAACAGTTGTAAAAAGTTTAAGTAAAAAAAGGGAATCTTAACTTCCTTCGGTTTGGTAATTAAAAGGTTTAAAAATATTATTTTAGGTAAGCAAGTTTATCGCACATTTAAAGTATATAGCCCCTAAATATAAATTTAGATAATTAAATGGTGATTAGTTTAACATTATCGGGGATAATGTAAGTTATCATAAATTTTATAAATATGAAAATTATTTAAATGTTTAACCTTCATTTTATAAATTATTTATATACGAGACAAATAAAAAACTTTAAAACATAAAAAAATACCAGTATTTTACTTAAATAATTTTAAGTATTCTTAATAATGATAGCATAATTTTGTTTCCGGATTCTTTATTTAAAAAAATCTGGGATTGTCTTTTACTTTTTTTACTAATAATTAACATATTTTACATACCTTTAAATTTAGCTTTTAATTTGGCAAGTAAAAAATAAATAAAAATAACAAAAAAAAAATAACCAAAAAAGGTTAATCTTATCTTTTCACTTACATAATGAATGTCTTACCTGGTTGGATTTTTTCAATTGATATAATATTACATTTTAATACGGCCTACTATTAAAAAGGAATAATTGTAACAGAAAGGAGAAAAATAACACGGAAATATTTATCAGGATAGTTTTTTATTGATTCCTTTGTAATTTTGCCTTTTTTAATGGCCTCATATTTATAAATATAATACTTACAATTAATAATACTTTTAAGGTTTAATAAAATGATTTAAATATCAAATGATTTTATCGAATTTTTTAGTTTAAAAAATAAACAAATAGCAAAATACGATTTATGTAAATTAATATTTTTAATCTTATTTATAGCCCATTTATGTGGTTGTTGTTTTTATTAATTAACGAAAATAGAAATCGAAAATAATATCAAAACCAACTGGCTAAAACGCTTTTCCACTACTTCTGACATTTAAGAGACCACAAACTGGTATTCGCAATACATTTTATCTTTCTATTGGGCAGTTATAACTATGATAACAGTAGGATATGGAGATATTTATCCAGTAAATGATTACGAAAGGGTTTTTGTAATAATCATAACAATGTTAAGCTGTGGTGTATTTGCCTACAGTGTAAATTCTATAGGATCTATAATCTAAAATATAACATATAAAAATCAGTCTTTTAAAAATAAGATGATGCTTCTTTCATAACATATGAATAAAAGAGGAATGAACACCGAATTATAAATGAAAGTGAAAAAATATTTCGAATATTTAAATGATGAAGAACTCGAAGATAATGAATAAGGAGAAAATATGTTAAATCAATTAGTCGGATCTTTAAAAATGGAAGTTTATTAAGACATTTATGGTAAAATACTGAATTCAAAAAAAGTCTTTAAACTTAATTTTTCCCAGAACTTTATTTCGAAAATTGCTCCTAAATTAAAGGAAAAAAGATTTGGACCAGAAGAAATTATATATAATGAGCATGAAAATAATTCTAAGCTATATTTTTTAATGGAAGGTGAAATTAATTTATTTTTAAATGTCAAAAATTATCAGTAGAATCAAAGTGTTATTAAATAACTTTCATAAGGAGATAATTTGGGCGAAATATCATTTTTATCAGGAATGAAAACCGATCATGGGGCTATTACAGTTAATGTGGTGAGCTTAGTTTATTTAAATATTGAAGATTTTCTTGAAATTATTAAAGATTTTCCAGAAGATAGAGAAAAGTTTTGTTTATTAAAGGATAACTATTAATTATATTAAAGTTCAAGAGGATTAGGTATTATATTTTTATCTAAATACATTCATATATTTATCTTATAAAATACAAAAAAAGGAAACTAATGTTAAGGCTGTGGAAAATATTCACATTAAATATTTAATTGTCATTTTGTAAAATATATTCCAAATAAAGATTAAATTATAAAGAGATTTTTAAAATAAGATTTGTATTAATAAAGAATAGAATTTACAAGAAATCGAATTAAATATTATAATACTTGGGATTGTTTAGAAGATATTAAATAAGCTGTAGTTGAAGTTTTAATTGAAAAAGAAAAACTAAATAGTTTATTTGAATTAGAAACTTTTATTAATAGATTAAGATAAATAGAATAAAATTAGGTTTTTGAGAGCGAAAATAATAGTACTGACTTATAAAAATTAGATTAAGAAAATATTTAATAAAGAGTTCAATAAGTAATAAGGAAAGGATCAAGAAAGTATTTTTTTTTTTTGTCAAATAAAATAAACTATTTATTTTATATAAAAAATAAATAAACAAAGTAAATCATATAGAAAGAGTATTGTTCAAATTCATCACCAAGTTTCTATAGAAGATAATACAATAAGAAATTCTTAAAAAAAGATTTCTTTAAAAAAAGAAAATGATTAAAAAAATCAAGAAAATAATAATTAAGAATTTATAAATTAAGAAAATGAACGAAATATTTAAAAAATAAATAGAAGAAGCTTAAATTCTTTAACCAAAATTTTACCAAATTAAAATGAAAATATTAATAACTACAATCTAAAGCCTATAAAAGAAGATGAGGAATTAGAAACTCTTACCGCAAGTCCGTAAAAGATAACTTTAAATAAGAAATTAATATAAGATTAAAATTATATGAGAATGAGTAATTCTATTAGGTTGTAAAAACAAAATTAAGATTAATTATAATAAAAATAGTAAATTTAATTGTAAGAAGTTCCATTAATTGAATCTTAAATTAATATTCATGAATAGATAAAAAAAACGATTTTTATCATTTAATATATTTCGATAGACTTAAAGATTATAGATTTTATTTTCCTAAAAACAACTCGATGTATATTTTTGAGAATTATAACGAAAAACAATAAAAAAACCTAATTTAATAATAAAGAATCTATAAAATTACTCATAATGTTTAGAATAGGCTTATAAGTTTTTTAAATAATATAAAAATAAAATAAAGTTCCTCCAAAAATTTAAAGAAGCTTTCTAGAGATTTAGTTTTGTAAATAATTTAAAAAACTAATTATTTAATATATATAAATATAGAAATTTCAGAAAAAGTGCAGATGCTCTTAGAAGCAAAAAAAACAGTCAGTAAAATGTAGTTTAATAGGAATGAAAAAAAAAAAATGATTTTTATAAAAATAAAAAAAATGATTTTTATAAAAATAAAAAAAATGATTTTTATAAAAATAAAAAAATAACCAATATTAAAAAATCTTTACATTTATTATATTAATTTTTAGTTTAGTAAACAAAAAAATGAATAATTATTAATCAAAAAAAAAAAAAATATATATGAATAAAAATAATAAAGGAAAAAAAAAAAAAAAACATAAAAATAATATTTTAAAATATAAATAATAAATAAAATAAAATGAAAACAAACGTTTCAAAAATCGATGTTAAATTCTAACAAGTGTTCGGAGATAAAGCTTCATCCGAAAAAGTATCAGAAGAAGATATTATATCAGCTTTATCTTTTGATAAAACAGGTAATTTAATATCCTTAGGAGACCGAGCTGGTCGTCTAATAATTTTCGAGCAAATCCAATCTAAATCAAAACGTAGTGAATTCCAATACTTAACTGAACTCCAAAGCCACACTAGAGAATTCGATTATTTGAAATCAACAGATATAGAAGAAAAGATAAACTAAATAGTATGGTTAAGAAACTCTGGAAAGAACCTCTATATCATTACAACAAATGACAAAACAGTTAAATTATGGAAAGTATCAGATAAAAATATCAAAAAAGTCGTCAAAAGTAGTGGAAAAGACTTAAACATGCCCAAGCTTCAAACTTTAGAAAGCGGCTTAATGCCTACAGTAAAAAAAGTATATCCTAATCTCCATACTTATCATATAAATTCTATATCTACTTCCCAAAACGAAGAATTTCTCCTATCATCTGATGATTTAAGAGTAAACCTGTGGAGTATAGAAAACACAACGAAAGTAAAAATAAAAAATAAAATAAAAAAACAATAGACATTTGTAGCTGTAGATTTAAAACCAGACAATCTAGAAGAGTTATCCGAAGTAATAACATCTTCCTAATTTCATCCTCAACATGATAATATGTTTCTATATACAACTTCTAAAGGGATAACTAAAATCGGTGACATGAGAAAAAGTGGTGTTTGTGATAACACTGCTTAAGTTTTTTTTGAAAAAGAAGACCCATCAAAAAAAAATTTTTTTACAGAAATAGTTGCCTCAATTTCAGACGCTACTTTTTCAAAAAACGGAAGATATATATTCGCTAGAGATTTCTTAAACGTGCGAGTTTGGGATGTAAATATGAGTAATAAACCTGTAGTCACAGTTCCCATTTTCGAGCCTTTGAAGAGCAAATTATGTGAATTATATGAAAATGAGTGTATATTTGATAAGTTCTCGATTTCTTCTAGTCCTGATAGTAATCATTTTGTTACTGGGAATTTCAATAGTACTTTCCATGTGATTGATAGAAATGGGGAATGTAATAATCAATTCGAACTTAACTTTAATAAAAAAACTTTAAGTAAACAAATTCCTCCAAAATATTTCGAAAATCTTACTTCGGCTTATGATTTTAGTAGAAAAACCTTAAAATCTGCTTATTCATAAGTTAATGGAACTATTGCTATTTCTTGCTTGAATTGTTTGTATTTTTATTCGTCATCAACGTCATAATGATTTTTTATAATTTAAATATTTATATATTAATCTTTATAAATATAAATATATATTGAGATATAATATAATCATTAATTTTATATTCTTTTTGTTATTATACTAGATTTAAATATAAAAAAAAATATTAATAATTTTGTTTATTATTTATACATAATTTATTATATAATATATATTGAAAATCTTTTTTTTTTTTTTTTTTTCAAATATCTATTATTTTTATTCTATCACTATGATTTTTTATCATAAAAATACTACAAATATATCCAATTAACATATTAATCAACAAATAAAATAATTAAACTATTTGAAATAAAATTATATTCTGCTCTATTATAATTTATAATATTATCAAAACTAAAACAATAAAAGAGTTAAATAATTCTTAGGAATTCAATACCATGAAATATTAACCTTATTCTATATTATTTGTAACAATCTAATTTTAGAATATATATTATTTTTATTTTTATTTTTTTAAAAAAAAAACTACCCATAAAAGCAAATATATAGGAGACAATAAAAAAGTAAATGGAAACAAACTGCTTTAAATAATAATAATAGATTTGTTAAATGGACTATAATTTTATATTTCATCGAATGGATCAATAAAAATTATATAAATAGTGAACTTTTTATAAAAAAAAAATACTTTTTTTTAACAAAAAAAATTTACCAATTTAACGATAAAAATTAAAAAGAGAATAATTTTTAAAACAACAGGCTTCGTAAAAACCGAGTCTTTAACAATTCTATAAGTAACAAAAATAGCTTTAGTTTAACTACACAATTATTTAATATACATTATGATTTCTTTAAATAAAGAAACTTTATTTTCTTAATTAAATTATTAATAATTATCTTCTTAAAGGAACTCGTTTTCATTTTATTTTTTCTAAGCTTTTTACTTGAGAATTTTGAAATAGTCTATATTTGATTAACTTGTCCGTTTAAGTTATTAATTGATATTATTACTATTATTTTAATATAAGAAATCACATTCATTCATATTTTATTTAGAAAAAATAATCGAAATCCTATATTCAAAATCATCAATATATTTTCTTCTTTTATAAATTTATTTTAGAAGTGATTATAATTCCTGTTCTTATTTACTATTTAGCTTTATTTTATTTGGAATAACTGTTACATTCGAAATTTCTTCCTAACTATAATAATAACTATCTGATCTGTCTTTTTTAAAACTTTCTTTATCATTATTATAATATTATTCCCCAACTTTTATTTTATGAATGCAAATCTAAGTATAAGTACTAAACTTATCAAAAATGCAGTTGTTTTATTAAAAAAATTTAATGAACTTTAAAAAATTTTCATGGAAACTTCTAAACTTCAAGCAAAAATTAATAGTTCTAGAAAAAGCATTGAATCTATTAAAAAATTCCTAAACCTCTTCTAAGTCTCTTGTACATTCTAAATTATCGTCTATAGCAGATTATAAATATGCATTATATTGTAAATTTTTATTCTAAAAAATTCCAGAAGCAGTATATTCACTAGTCGATTAAACATTTTCATTCTCGTGGTTTTAAACAAATGATTCAGTGCGACTACTATTACAACTATGATTAATAACACAATTATTTTTATTTATCAAAGGATTAATATTCGCATTATTATATTTATCCGGATTTTCCTGGGGTTTGTTTAACTAAAAAAATTCGGGATCTTTTTAAGATTTTAAATAAGAAATAAGCAATTAGAACATAGGATCTTAAACATTAATAAGAAAAGGACTCATAAAGGAACCTTTCCCTTATAAGACGAACTAAATCGGCATTTTGGACTCAATACTCCACTAAAGTTCTGTTTTGCTATAATCCACAATATCGAAAAAGGCTTAAGTAAGACATTCACTACCAGTAAATTTGATAAGCAATTAAGAATTCTAGATTTTTAGTTCGTTAATAAAAGCCTAAATTTTATTTTTTAATAGCTCAAATTTTTTATATTTTAAGAATTTCTAATATTTATAATATGCAAAAGGGAATAAATATTTTAACAAAATAAGTGATATTATTTCATTTTGTTTATATTTGCATAAATCATTTAAGTCTTACCAAATATCTTTATTAACAATATTGTTTTTTTCTTTCACCTCATCTTCTTGTACAACTTCTTCCTAATACGAGTTTTCTAGTTTAGTGAATCCGAAGTATTTCTATAGTTATTTTTGACTTTCCTAATTGATAACCCAAGGCTTCGAATCAGTATTTTCTCCTTCTAAATAAAGTCTAGTTTCATGAAAAGGAATATCTTCGAGCATAAATTCTACTTTTCCTTTATCTACTTATCCAATTTACATAATATTTTTTAAACAGACTTTTTTTTTATTCTTTTCGAAGAAACAATATAAATAATTTAAATTAAAATTGATGAAATGAACACTATAAGTCCATAAATCATATTTTCCCCTCCTATTAACACCATAAAATACTCTCCATTGGTAAGACATAACTTTTGCGAGTTTTTAAAAACAGTCCTATATTAATTTTTACATTTATACTCACAAATTGGTGATATAGGAATCTCATTTATAAATTCGACATTTTTTTAAAAAGTACTAGTACAGTCTTTACATTATTCTAATCCTATACTAGATTTATAAGTGCCTAATGGACATTTTTCGCATATAAACTATCCATTTCTCGGCTAAAAGCCTGGTTTACATGGAGTTGTCATAAATGTCCCATTTTATTATTTTATTCTTTTATATTAAATAGTTTCTTCAGCATCCATTAACTTAATATTATTTTCTTATAGTATATTTCCTTAAAATACTTCAACTTCTATACTATTATTTTAGCTTATAAACTCTAATTCTTAAATACTCATAGTGAACCATTCAATTTGATTTATTTTTATTCTACCAGCTCCTCCTTCACCTCCTTAAGCTAATTAATCGCCTCCATTAGCTTTAATAACTCCGTTTCCTGTTATTTATTTCGCATGTATTTATATAGAACCGCCAGAACCTTATAGTAATATAATATGTTTATATATAAATGTATATTATTTATACCTGAACCTAAAAAATTGTAATTTTTGTTAGGAGACCCACCACTTGCATCCACTTTTCCTTATAAAAGAAACTAAAAAGCTTCTATATATATAAATCCTCCTCCAGCCCCTCCATATAATTAAGTTTATTCAGAACCTTTTTAATTTACAACATGTCCTCCTCCTCCACTTCCTTCGTAAATTGGATAATCGAGATTTCCATAAATTTCTTTACTTTCAATTTGTGAACATAAATAATTATAAGCTTCTTTTTAAGATAAAGGAGAACCTCCATTAGTACTATGAGACCCTCCTGCCCCTCCACATAGTAAATCAATGCTCAAAGGGATATCAATATTACCTCCACCTAATCCTTTAGAGCCTTAACAGCCTTAAGCTTAGGCCGAAACTGTTGAATTAGAAGAAACTTAAAAATCTTTAGCATATATTCCTATATTACTAGCCATTATATCAGAATTTATGATTTCTAGAGTTTTCAAAGCAATAATAGCCGAGGTAAAATTGCTACTAATAGCCTAAAAAAGAGTTGAAGGATCTAAAAGTTTATAATAATCAGCTGTTTTTTAAACATCAAAATTACCATTTTATTAATTTCTTAGCAAGCTAATTACTTATTCATATTCTTCTATAATAAATTATGATTTACATATTTTTTTATTTGCAAAAATTCTCGATTCCTTAATCTATAAAGTATTTTCGGCTTAAATTAAATTAATTGCACTTTCCAATTGCAATTGTTTAATAATAACTTCTTTACTAAATAATTAAAAAGCATTACTTACATTAATAGAAGCGTCATCTAAATTAATAATAGGAGAACTTAATGATAAATTATTAATAATATTGAATTAATTTATCTAAATTACAATCTTTTAGTTTATATTTAACTCGTTTTTGCTTTTCAAACTGAAATTCTGTTCTAGAGTTTCACTATTATTCAAATTATATATTTCGCATTCTTATAAAGTCAAATTATCTTCAGATTTAATAATTAATTTTTTTCCAATACTCAAACTGCTATTAATAAAAAGTAATTGCTATTATCCATTTATATTTACTTCTTAAGCACTTATTTAAGTATCTTAAATTTATGATTTCCCAAACTAATCTATCTATATTTCCAAAAAAGTACTTATTTTACAATTCTAAATTATTGTTGATTGTAAGCTTATAATATTTAGTTTACCTTAATAATTATTTTATAAATTAATTTATATGTTTTCTAGTGTGATTTTCGCAGCTTAAAACACAATTTAAAATTTTTCATCTTTATTTTATCCATTTTCTATATTATTTTATGTGATTTATATATTTTAAAGCTTTATTTCAGAGTCTGAGGTTGAAAAACAAAATATTAGTTAATTTTCTTTTATATTAGATATGTTTATTTCAATTGCTTCTTGGCTTTAGCAATTGTTTTCTTTGCATTCTATTTTTTATATATTTGATGTCTAATATTTACATTACTGAAGATTGTTTTATAAAACCTAAGAATTTATATTGGATAAAAAACTATAAATTATAAATAATTTATATATTAAATGACCAATAAACATTAAATATTTGTTTATTATATATATCTATTTAATAATAATTTTTTTTTATATTATAAAAATTTTTTGATTTAATTTAATTAAATTATTTTATTTTAAGAATATTTTTCTAATAATAAAAAATATCTAAAAGTAAAAATGTTTATAAATAATTTTATATTTCAAAACTATATAAAAATAATAAATTAATATGAAATAATTAAAATTAATTATATTTTTAACTAATATTAATTTAATAAAGTGAATAAAAATATTTAAAAATATAAATAATATATTTATTTCTGGATTTACTTTTTTATAATTATTAAACATTTTTTTTAGATAAAGTAAAATAGTTGATTTAACTAATATTTTTTAGTTTATATTTATATTAAATATATCTTTTTTTAATTTTTATCTAAAATATTTTATCTTTAAAAAAAAATTAATTTAAGATAAATAACTTTTTTTAAAGTGTTATTTTAATGAATTTTTTTTATAATATATTAAATTTAAAAATAATAATAAAATTTTCAAACGATTATTTATATGGCAACTTTTATTGTTATTTGTTTAATTTTATAAAATAAAAGAAAGATAATCTAATTTAAAATACATTTATAAAATGATTTTAAACTATATAATATTATTAAAATATAAGACATATAAATATTCATTTTTTTAAAAAAGAATATTTAATAAAAATTATGTGCTTTTAATTTTCTTAAATATATAGAAATTATGTAAAAAATAAAAAATTAACTAATATATATATAAAAATATATATATTCTCATTATTCCTATTCTTCAGGTAAGTTTTCCAAATCAATATCTTTTCCAGTTATTTTTTTGAACATACTTAAAACAAGTTCAGTTTCAGGTTCAAAATGACTAGAAGGATCAAAACAGTTACTTACAAAAACTTAATCTTTAACACCATCATCGGCTGCTACATATTGATTTGAAACCTTTTTTTTATTTATTTAATTAAATAATGTTATTTTTAACAAAAATAAATAAAGATTACTGTAACAAACATTTCTTTTACAGGTCCTATTAAATCCAAAGCTGGCTATATTTCTTATTATGGATTACTAGTTTCTACTATTGTAGATACAATTGCAATATAATAACCTTTTAAGCAAACATTATGTACTCCAGAAACCATCATAACATAAATATCTATATTTATATATAATTATTATATTTAAATATTATAAAAAATACCATTTTGTCTATTAATTTATCTTTAAGGAATAATAATTTGGACTGAAGGAACATCTTTAGTACCAGGAATAGGATGATCTGTAATACAAATACATCTAATAATTTTTCCTATTTGCTTTACTTTATGTTAATTTCCAGTCTTTATAGCATAAGAAGGATCACAAACTACCATTTTGCATTTAGCAATTTGGTCTCCGCTTTTTACTCCGCATACCTTACCGCTTTCATCATAAAGGATCTATTCAATATCAGTATTAAGCATAAATGTACCTCCTTAAATAGCACTCATACGTGAAAAACCTTCAGGGATACCACCTAATCCATAAATTGGGTAAATAAAAGGAGAGTCACCATATCTTCCAATAGAATCCATGTATAATTTAATTTTTTCAACTGTTTCAATAGCAGGTCTTTTTAAGAAACTATCATTAGGAAACAAAGCTACTGCGTGTCCAATGAAATCAATAGTGTTAGATTCTAATTCAAAATATTCAAGAAGTTATTACATAGTCATACTATATAAATTAAGTCCTTTTGTTTAAAAAAATAATAATTAAATTATATAAAATATAATTTAAATACCTTTGTAAGTCTATGAATCTTTCACATTGTAATTAGCTACATAGACAAAGAAGTTTTTACATCTTCTTTTTTCGAAAATTCCCATCAAATCACTTGATAAGGCTTCTTTATCAGTAGCAGGTACTTTTTCAATTTTAGGGCCTCCAGATGATAAAAGTCCTCCTTTTTTCATTTAATATACATAAGTGCCATCAATAGCTTGTTTTTATTTTGTTTTAAAAAAATATATATTTATATATTTTATTTGTTTAGTTTAGTTTACATTTCCACTCGAGATATGAAGCGACTCTTGTTTTCAATAATATTTTGACTAATTTACCATTTGATATTATATATTTAGGAACTAAATCAATGTTCCAGTCTCTATTTTATCCGAATTATTTGGGAACTTCTTAATTTGGACGGAATAATTTCCACATATTTGTTAAATTAACTGAGGCTCCTTCTCCCCCGTAAAAACCGTTTCTATCTATGTGTAATACTTTTTTACCTTCTAAAGATAATAAACCAGAGAGAATGCATTCAATAAAGCCTGTTCCGCAAACTACAACGTCGTAAGAATCGTCCATTTTTTTTTTGGTTTTTTTTTTTTTTTTTTCTTTTATATAAATTATTATTTATATTTTTTTCTCAAGTATATTTATTTATTTATTTAATAATGTTCCTATATTATTTTTTTAAAATAAAAATAATTATATTTTTTTTCATATACAAATTATTATATTTTTTTATTTTAAATTTAATTTAATTATTCATTATATCTTATTTTGTGATATTTTTGTTTACCAAATAATATAAGCTAAAAAATTTAAATAATATTTTATTTTAAATTATAATTAATTATATGATCTTAATTATATAAGTTTTGATAAGTTTGTTTATTTTTTTAAATTAAAAATATATATTTAAATTATATTTTAGTTTTCTAAATGAGTCTATACACTTATAGGAAAATAATTTAATAAATTAATATTTTTTAAGAGTAAAATTAAAAAAAAATATATATTTTATATATTATATTAATTGAAATAAAAAATATCAAAATTAATAAATTGATATTTAAATGAAATTCACCATATAATTGCAAATAATTTATTCATTTAAAATTAACAAAAATATAATATAATATATAAAAAATATTATAAAAAGTTATATTTAGATAGATTTTTTATATAATTTTGCTTATGATGATTATTATAAAAATTTAATTTTTTCTATTTTTTGCAATTAATTATGCAATACTTTTTTTTAAAATATTAAAGTAAATCAATGTAAATAAAAAAAACTTGATAATAAATATATATATATACATTTATTTTAATTATAAAAATAAACAATTAAAAAAAATAAAAAATTCAATGGAGTAAAAAGTTCCATAAGAAATAATTGATTATTATTCTCCATATCAAAATTAAAAATTAAACTTAAAAGTGACAAACGTATTGAATGCTTCTAAATTTGAAATGGATGAAAATTACACGATTATAGATTCAAGTATACAATTTAAAATTTATTTTTATTAATTTATTTTTTTATTATTCACTTAAAGTTGGATAGGGAGCTTATGGAATCGTGGTTGCAGCAAGAGATTAATAAATAGAAGATGAAGAGAATAATTTAGTAGCAATTAAAAAAATAGAAAAGGCTTTTGAGCATAAAATATTTACAAAAAGAACTTTGCGTGAATTACGGCTTTTGAGGTTACTTAAGCATGAAAATGTATTACTAATTAAATTTAATATTTTATTCTATTAAAAAAAAAAAAGATTATAGGCATAAATACATTATTACTTCCTAAATCAAGAGAAGAATTTGACGATATGTAAATATATTATTCATTTAAATAAATGTTTCAAATATTATAATATTTTATTATGAATAATAATATTTATAAATTATAAACATAAAAATAAATATATATAAATATATATATATATATATATATATATATATAAATATATATATTTATATTTATAATATTTTTTAAGTTATGTTGTTTCAGAATTAATGGAGACCGATTTAGCTTCTATTATTAAGAGTGATTAACCTCTTTCTGATGAACATTGCTAATTTTTTCTTTATTAAATTTTAAGAGGTTTGAAATATATTCATTCTGCTAAAGTTGTTCATAGGGATTTGGTAAAATCATAACAATAAATAAATATTTAAGTATATAAAATAGAAACCTAGAAATTTATTAGTTAATTCAAATTGCGATTTAAAAATTTGTGATTTTGGTCTTGCTAGAACAATAATCCCAGATTTAAAATGTAAAGCTGGAATGTTAACTGATTATGTTGCAACAAGATGGTATAGAGCTCCAGAATTACTATTATCATGGAAAGATTACGATGAAAAAGGTTAATTTTGTAAGTTTTTAAATTTAATTTATTTAAAAAAATTAGTTGATGTATGGTCAGTTGGATGTATTTTTGCTGAATTGTTAAGAAGAAAACCTTTTTTACCTGGAATTGATAGTTTATTTTTTATATATATTTTTAATTATAAAAATAATTTAAAGCAAAAAACTAAATCGAATTAATTTTCGAATATTTGGGAACTCCAACTGAATAAGAAATCAATAGTATTCCAAAAGATAAATTTAGAAAAATGGTTAAATAAATACCAAAAAGAGTTGGAAAGCCTTTTAAAAATTTGTTTCCAAATGCATCGCATGAAGGTATTATAAAAAATGAAATATAATTTTTAAAATTAAAACTTTTTTAGCCCTTGATTTATTATAAAAGCTACTTACTTTTGATTTTAATAAAAGAATATCAGTTGAAGAAGCTTTATCCCATCCTTATTTAGCCGAATTACATTTTCCTGATGACGAAGTTTAAATATATAAAATTTAAGTTATTTATTAAATCTATTATTTTATTAAAAAAAAAGCCTGTGTGTGAACCTGTTTCAAGATTAGATTTTGAATTTGAGGAATATAATTTAACTCTTTAATAATTAAAAGATTTGATTTATGAAGAAATTTTATATTATCATTATCCTAAATTTGCTTAAGAGCAATATGAGAAGAAAATAAAAGGAGTTTCATTAGTATCTCATATTTTAAATAATGCAAATAAAAATATTGTAATTTTAAAAAATATATATATGTATATATATAATTAAGGAGATTTTTTTTTAATATAAAAATAATTATAGCCTGATCCTGACTCAAGTGATGAATATAGTGGATAATCTGATGAAGATGATGATGATAATTGAAAATTGTTAAATTAGAATAAAAAATTTTAAATTTATTTGTTGTTTTGTATTGAAAAATATATAAAACTATATATGCGTTCTTTTTTTTTATTATTTATTATAAAATAAATATAACTTATTTATTACATTAAACTTTTTATATATATAAAATAAAAATTATTTGATTTTATAATTACTATATTGAGATTGTTAAATTAATATATTTTAATTATATTTTTTTTATTTAATTTTTAAATGTATTTTTTATTTTTGCCTTTTATTTATAATTTTATCGTTTCAAATTTATTTATTTTTTAATATAAAATAATCTTGATTTTTTTTATAAAAATAATAATTTAGTTAAATATCTAAATTATTAAAATTTTCAAAAAAAAAAACATCAATAAAATTATATAAGAATACTAAAAATATATAGAATTAATTATTTTTATATATTATGTATATTAAAACTATTTTCTTATTCCAAAAATAAATCTTATCAAAAATAATTTTCCATCATAAAAAATAAGGAATTGCTTTTTTAGGAGGTAAAGATTAATTAGATTATTCAACTTCAGTAAAAATTATAAATTCCTTTTCTAGATTTTCATCTAATTTAAGAATAGAAGCTTTATTACCCATTCTATAACAATAATTAGGAGCACTCCATACAGTGCAAAGATTCTTTTACTAAAAAAAAAAAAATTATAAAAGACTAAATAAATTGTAAAAATGAAAAAGAATTACATCAAACCAATATTAATAACCTTCCTAAGCCAACTAATGAGCCCTACAAATTAATGTAAAATCATTAATATGATTAAAGTCATTTACAACCTTATCTCCGAAAAGCCATCCAGCCCCTCTAGAGTTAACAGCCCAAGTTGAAACATCATCCTTTTAATATTTATAAAAAATGCATATATATTAACATTTATATTTATATAATTTTTATTATTTAAAGCGTATAATTTAGTTATATAAATAATCAAAGCTTACTGGATCTGACCATAATAAATCAGTAAAAGGCCCCTCTAAAGGAATTTCCTATTTTCTATGAATAGTTCTTATTTAATCAACTGTTTTATATCTGGAGAAAGACCTCCATGTACACAAAAAATTTAACCTTCAATAATAGCTCCTAAAGGTAGATAATCAAATACTTCACAAAAGTAATGCCAAGGATTTATATTTCCGTATTTTCTTAATACTTCATCGTAAAAACCATACGCCTATGTTGTTTATCGAGATTCATGATTTCCTCTTAATAATGTTATACAATGGGGGTATTAAGCCTTTAAACAAAATAAGTGTTCAATAGTTTCTACTGAATTATAACCTCGATCAACGAAATCTCCTATAAATATATATCGCTTTTCAGGTATTTTTCCACCTTAATTAAATAATTCTAATACATCGAAAAATTGACCATGAATATCCCCACATACATTCACAGGAGCGTCAATGGGTTATACATTTGATTCCTCTACTAATAATTCTTTTACTTTTTCACATATTATACGTAATTAACGTTCTGGTAAACAATATTTACCTTTTTCAAGTTTTTCTATATGTTCTTAAAGGTTGAGTGAATCTTCAGACATATTTATTTATACTAAATTTTTATTTAATTATTTATTATAGATTTTATTAAATAAGAAAAAAAAAAATTATTATAATATATAATAAAAAATATGTCAATATAATAATATAAATAATTTAACTTTGATTCAACAAATTACTAAAGCTTTTAAAACGAATTAAACCCTTCTTAATAAAATCCCTATTTGATAGAATTAGTGAAAAGATTATGGTATAAATAATATGTAGATTAAAACTTTAATGCCGATTTTGATAATTTAATTGCAAGTGCGATAAGATCTTAAAAAAATATTTTTTTAATGAAATATTTTTAAGTTTGGATGTATTAAATAGAAAATTACTTAAAAATATTTTTTTATTTAATATTTTTATATTTAAAATTGGAGTTTTTTATTTGGGTATTATTATTTGTTTAATTTCTATTTTAAGATAGTTGGGAAGTCCTAAAAATGATTTAAATTATGCAATTTCACTTGTTTAGAATTACTATGTGCATGATATTCTTTATTTGATATGCTTTTCTTATTATTTAGAATTTATAAATCCATTTTATTGTATGCCAATTATTATTCATTTTTTTATTGGAATTTGTGAGTTTCTTTTAATAAAGGGAAATAATAAATTTTTGATATTTAGCATAGGAAAAATTGAAGTATTAACTAATAATAAACATAAATATTATTTGATTAAAAGCAAACTTGAAATTTTTATTTTTATTTATCTTTTAATTTAGTTTATTTATTTTATAAATAATGGAATTTTGATTATTTTTTATTTTTAGTTCATATTTATAAAACTAATTGTCGATGATTTTACTTAATAAGCTTTAGAATTTTTCTTAAAACCTTTTTTAAATTTTAAAGGAATAAAAGGATTTCCAAAAATAAATATATTGAAAAATAAAATTAATTAGAAATAAGATTGATATTTTTTGAAAAGAAAATTCCATAATTTTATTTAAATTTTTTCTTTTAAACACTTTTATATTTATTTTTTTAAAATAAATAAATATTTCAAATAAAAATGATTTTAATAAATATATTTTTTAAAACAAATCAATATTTTAATATATTCTTATATATAAATTCATATTTTAAAATAAACAAAATTGTATTTTAAAGACTTTTAGGCATAAAAAAGAAGCTACATAATAAAAAACATATAATTTATTTATTTTTAATTTAAATATAAATAATATTATATAAAATATAAAGCTCAAAATCAAGTGTAAAACATCATAAAATGTTATATTTTTCATTTAATTTTTATCATCATCGCATTTAAAATTGTTTTTAATATAAAAAGTATTAAAATTACTTAAAAAGATATTTATCATGTTATATTTTTTTTTTAAAATAAAAAATTATTGTAATAAATAAAATATTAGAGATATATTATAATATTTATTTAATAATTATTAATTTTATATATAAAAAATTATTAATACCTATTAATTAAATTTAAATTACACAATAAATATTATTTGTATTGTTTTTTTTAAAAAATTACAATAAAAAATCAAATTTTAAAATTAATTATTTAATTTAAAAAAAAAAATAGAATAAAATAATAATAATATTTACACTATTAATAATATATATTAACTGCCAATTAAAATAGCAAAAAGATATAAACTGGAATCGATTATAAATATATGAATCTTATATTCAAAATTTGAATAGACAATTGTATTTATAAGAATACATGAATATACAAGTAGACGAGAATTTAAACGAGAATTTATAAACTACATTTGATATATAAATAACAGATGAATAAGGAAATGAATAAGATATATGTAAAATAGAATCAAAAAGAATATTAATAAAACAGAAAGCCTTAAATATGAAAGAAAATAAATCAGGAAATAGGATAATGTATGTCTAAAATGATATTTTAATAATTTTAAAATTTAATTATGATTTAATAATTGCTAAAATAAATTAAATTCAAAACATAGATGTATTAGAATAAATATCTGTTAATATTTTAAATCTTTCGAAGGTAGATAAGTATGCATTGGACACAAGCAAAGTATTAATTATTGGATAGGAAGATTTTTAAAAATACATTTATATTATTTTTTCAAAAGAAATATTCATTTTGAATATAGAATAGTTTAGTTTAAATCAAAAATATGAAATTTAAACAGTTTAGAACGTCTAGAAAATTTAAAATTTAAGTTCAGGTTTGATTTCTTAAGGAAATTTATATTTAGGAAGTTTAAGTGATGGACTTTACGTGTATAAAATAGATATTAATAATGGTAATATAACGTTTATAAAGTAATATATAAATAGTAATAGTTTATGGTAAAGTAAATCTTAAATAAATATAAAATGTTTAGTAAAAGTAGATAATTATAGCTTTTTTATTAGTGATTATTATAATGGAATTTTTTTGATTGAAAGTCATTAAAATGTTGAAGAAAATAAGGTTTTACTAAGCCTTTTTGAAATTCTTTATGTAATTAATTTATAAGTTAATATTGATTAATTAATTGCTTTTACTTAATAATAAAATGGAGAAGAAATCGGTGCTATTAACGAAATATTTTATAATGTAAAGCATTAATAGTTTTTTATCAATAGAGTTTTTAAGAAAATTAATGATATTAATTTAAATTGTTTTATAAATGATAATTTCGGGTTTATTTCAAACAGCAATTTTTTTTTTCTTTTTTTTCAGGAATTCATAGTCATTTTCTTTAAGATAATAGATTAGATTAATAAATACTATATTAGTTTCAAAATTCCAATATTAAATAGATTTATAATGTTAATTAATAAATAGAAAAATATATAGGCATTAGTGAATCAAATGTTTTTAGTATTAATATTTTGGTTAAACCTTTTGAAATAATTTGTGTTCCTTAAAGTGAATAATTAGTAGGTGATAATGTTTTAAAAATTATTTATAAAACTTAAACTTGTGAATCTTCTATTAAAGAAAGAATTGATTTGAGATATTCTACTATTTGTTAGATTTAATAATGTTTTATTTATATTATATATAAAATTATTATAATTAATTATATATATATATATAATAATATTAAATAAAAAAGAATTAAAATTGCATGTAAAAACTGTACTTGTTGATAGTGATAATTAATCTTAAATCAAATATATTATTGCTATTGTTGTTTTAACCATTATTATATTCTTACTATTATCGCTTTTGTTTATTTTTAGATTTTACAAATAATCCTAATTTGCTTATAAAGAACTAAATGAATTTAAAACTAAATATTAAATTTTAGAATAAAATAACAATTTAGTAAATATTTAAAATCCACAATTAGAGTTACCTGTTGCTAGCCCGAAAATCGAAAATTAATTAATTTTGAGTTTTAATTAAAAAAGTATTTTAAGATGTGAATAAGAGATTGCATAAATTAATTGATTTTTTATATTTTTAGATTATTTAAAATTAATAACCAAATATATATATTTATATAGATATTATTATATAAATAAATAATAATAAAAATAAAAAATGGTTTTTAATATATATATATATGAGTTATTAAATTAAAATTAATAATTTTAGATAATATAATATAAATTATTATGTATATAATGATTCTATATATTATATATTTAAGATTATTTATATAAATTTTTATAATATCAAAATTAATTATAAATACAATAATAGTAATAAACTAATAAAAATTATAATAATATAATTTATTCATATAAAAAATTCATTTAAATAAATTATTTATAGAGATTAAAAATACATTTTTTATTAATTATTTTATATAAATACATATCTTCTTATATTTATTAAAAAATAATAAAATGTTTATAAAATAACTCAATTTTTAAATTTTTAAAACATTTTTGGTAAACAGAAATAATTCTATTTCTTAAGTATCATCATTTATATAAGATTTAAATATAAATATAAATAATCCTAACTATAATGTATATGAAAACATGGATAAAATCTTAAAAATATAGACTACTAAAAGTAATAAATTACAAACTTTGAAAGAAATTACTGACTTTTTTGATTAAAAAAATTAAAAATTAAGAAGTTCATATATATTAAAGGCTTATTTGGATATTTTAAATGAAAATTCATCTTTAAATGAAGAATAAGTAATACTTAGAGACTTTTGGCAGCTTTATTAATAAAAAAAAGGCGAAATTGAATATAAAAATGACGAAGAAAAGCTCTTAATGTTAATAGAAATAAATGAATAACTAGAAAAAAATCAATAAGATAATAAGCAATTAGAAATATTTAAAGAAATGAGTCAACTAAATATTAATACTAAAGAAAAGTTTCATGAAAAATACCTAAAATATATGGAAAAAAGAATATAATTATTATAAATAAAATGCTAATATGATGAAACATTTGAAGCCTTGGAACAATTATATTAAGATATAAGTAAAATAGAGATTAAAAATAGAAATCTTTTGAGAAATATAAACGAACTTTTTACAAAAGGAATTATTTTATGTAAAAAATTCGAAAAAAATAAGAAAAATGGGAAACCTTTTAATAAGAATTTCAAAATAAATATAAATATGAATAAAACAATATGGAGTAGATTTTATAAAAAATAAAAAAAATAAACTCTGAGAAACTCTTAGATGAAAAGAAATAAGATATAATGAACTTTTTGGAATCTAATAAACATTTTTATAAATAAGAAATACAAAATGTGATAGAAAATTCACTTTTTGATGATAGTATTCAATTAGATATTTACGAATTATTATATTTATTTGCATAATTCGAGAAAAATTATAAATAAGAATTAGATGATCTACCTACAATTCTTTAGTAAGATGATTTAGTTGATGATTTTGAAATATAAATAATTAAGAATATTGAAATGTTGTTTTAAATACGAAAATTTATTTAAGAATTTTCTTTCTAAGTTTTTTAAGTGGAAAGTAACGGAAGTTTTCCCCCTCTTTATGTTTCAGGATGGCTTAATATACTAAATTAAGAAACTCAAAAAACGGTTTATTAATTATGTATGAATTATAATGAAAATTTCCTCTGAATTTAAAATTTGTATTCTATATATATTTATATTATAGTTTTTGCTTGTATTTTAAGCATATTATTATTTTATTTATTTAATATATTTTTGTGTGTATAATATCATTTATATATATATATATATATTAATTTACTTTTTTTATCCCATTAATATTATTATAGGTGTATTTTTATAATTTAAAAAAAAAAATTAAAATTATTCATATTAAAATATTATATATATAATAATCGATTTCTTTTTTAATAATAAATATTTGTTTATTCTTTAATTTTAGTTTAGTTTTTATTTTATAAATCTTATATTTTCTTTTTTATTAGTTTAAAACAAAATTTTCTAATTTTTGTTAAAATAAAATTGTTTATTTAATTTTATCAATTTTTTAATAAAAAAAATAGTTTTAAAAAAACATTTCTTTCTGTCTTTATTTTATACCGAATGGAAAAAATAAATTATTTTTATTTATTTTTTTTTAAAAAAATATTTTTATTTTTTATAAAGTGTTTTGTTGATTTTTTTATAAAAAAAAAGAAGAGTTTTTTCTTAATAAATTGTTGTTTTTATTAAAAAATGACTTTTTATTTTTTCTTATGAAAAAAATTTATCCATCCATTTTTTTTTTAGATTAAGTATATTTTTATTATACTATTATAAATATTATTTTTTTTATTAAAAAAAACTATTCTTTAATTAAAATAAATTAATATTATATATAATTCGTGTTTATTTCTAAAAATGATTAATTTTTATGGGGGGGAAAAAAAAAAAAAATGATATATAAAATTTGATTTTTTCAAGAAAAGCATGTATAATCCTTTTTTTTTTTTTTTTTTCATATATCTATTTTATTTATACTATTAATGATAAATATTTTAGATGAATTACTTTATTATAGTAATTAATTATAATTTTTTAAAGAAAAAAAAAACAGGAAATATTTAAATATAAGGAAAAATTATAAAATTCAATAGACACATATTTATTTATTAGTTTTGGCTTTTTTATAGAATCAAGTCTATAATATCTCCATATTATAAATATAAAATACTTATTTTTAAATCATTTTCTTCTTTATGTTTTAATAAATCTTTTAAACTATCGATTATAATGAAATATCTTCTTTTTATTAATATCTTACATTAATTCAACATATTAAATATATTTTAATTTTATATAATATAAATATTTTTTTTACATATATATTTATTTATTATGTCATTAGTTTTATTTTCGAATAATTTTGAAAAATTAAATATTTTTATTTTAATATTTTTTATCTTTGTAAATTTAATTTTCTATATATTTTATTATATATCTTAATTTGAGTTAGAATATATACAAATAAATATTTTTGGAAAAATGTAAATTTTGTTTTACATTTTTATTAGAAATTTTATTTTATTAGTAAGAAAATAGAATTTATTTAGGTATTTGAATATTATATTAGATTTTGTATGATATTATTAATTTTTCATAATATTTTCTTTATTTCCTTTTAATATTTTTAAAAAGAATAAAATAAAATATTATTAAAAACAATAAAATAAAATATTATTAATAAATAAAAGTTATTTTTAAAATTGATATGATTATAGTTTTTAATTTGAAATAATTTAGATTTTGAAAAAATAATCTATTTATAATAATAGTAAGAAAAAATGTAAATGAATTTAAAATAACATAAATTAATAATAATCAACATTTATAAAATAAAAATACTACAGAAATATTATTAATATGTATATTATATAACCGTAAAAAAAAAAACTAATATTTTATAAAATTAATTTTTATTTTTAAAATGATATTATAAAAATACACTTTAATAAAATCTATTATTTTAATATATAATAAATAAATATTTAATTTATTTTTTTATTTAATTCCAAATATAAAAACTAAATTATTTTTAATACTTTTGATTTACATATTTAATATTTTTATAGTTTTAATTTTGAAAAAGTAGATTATTATTTTTATAATAATATAATTTTTGTTTTATTTTTATTATTGTTTGACATAAAAAATAATATTATATTTTAATTTATATAAATGTCATTTTTTTATTATATTATATTATTATTATGTTTTAAAATTTTATATTTATAAATGCATTTTTATATTAATTTTAATAAAAGCTATTGCTTATATAATTTTTATTTTTAAATATTAAAGAAAAAGTTAGAAGTCAAATATTTTAAATTAATTAAGAAATTTATTATATATCTAATAACCTATATATATTGCAAAACACATACAAATATATAAGAATATATATCAAAATATAAATTTTATTTAATTAAAAAACACAAAGAAAATAAATTAAATGATTAAATAAAATTGCTTTTGTTTAAAAATTTATTATTTTAAAATAAAAAAAAAAAAAAATGAGTAAATATTTAATTGATAATTAAATAAAAAAGAAATTAAATTAATTAAATAATGAAAATATGACAAAAAAAAAGAAATATCTAAAATAGCAATTTAATTAAATGAAGATTAAAATTAATGCAATAGTATAAAAAAGATTAAAAAAATAGGAATAAGAATAAATAAAAATATGTAAATAATTAAAATAATAATTAATAATAATTTAATGAAAAAAATGAAAAATAAAATGTTAATAATGGTATTTATGAAAATAATAATATTAATAATAATAATAATAATAATAATAATAATAATAATAATATTTTAACATTAATAATAATCAAATTCAGTATGGAAAAGTAAGTTAAATAACTTATGGTTCTCTAATAAACATCGAATTATCTGATTTTTAAAATTGTTTTGTATATAGTGAAGGATAGTTAACTTCAAATATAATTTTAAAATAATTTAAATAAAATTAAAGGAAAAAGAGATCTTAATTTTTATAATACTGTTTTTAAAATCGTTCCTTACATGGAATGTAAATATTAAAATTAACTTTTTGAATAAATATAAAATATTTATGAAAGTTAAATTCATAATGAATAAGGTATTATTTTTCTTTTTCTTTTTTTTATTTTTAATTTTAATTTATATTTAGAGATGACTCTTAGAAAACAGAAAATTACTCAACTTTAGTAAAACCTTGATGGCGAACTGAATTCTAATATTATTATTTATAATAAATTTAAAAATACTCCTGTTTTATTTAATATTTCTTCTTTTCATTTAGTACATTAGGCTTCTTTAAAGTATTTAAGTATTGACTATAATAATAATGATTCCTATCCGTAAGATAAAATATAATAAAAAAAATAAAACTAATTAAATAAAGGTTTAAATTAGTAGATTTTGCTGATGAAAATTGCTTATTTAAATTTATTCCTTGTTTAAGTTTCCAAAAATAAAGGTCTAATGTAGTTTATAATAAAGATTATTTGTTAATTTGTAATTGTAAAACCATTTATAATCGTAAACCTTTTCTATACACAAATTATTAAGGAAAAAGCGAGATAAATAAAAAAGAAAAGCTTAAAAAAACTCAATAAACAGAAAATATTTATGCAAATTTAGAAACTTCTTGTAAATGGAAGTAAAAAAAAAAAAGATTATACAAATTTTAATTTTAAATTAGAATAAATCTATACTCAGAAAGTGAATAAAATGATTAAATAAGTCATATCTATTGTGGAGATTCTATTTGGATTTGTTTGTCTGAATAAAATGTAAAAAAAGAAAAGTAATATAAATTAAATTGAAAAAAACTATATATATAAAAATATTTATAAAAAAGTACGCTTTATCTCTTAAATAAAGCATAGAAAGTCCTTTTTAATAAATTTTTTATTATTTTGATTAATATTTAGATACTCAAAATGAAAAAGTTAATTAATAATAAAACAAATCTTTATTTAAATTATAAAACTCCATAAATCCATATAGAAAGTCTTTTTAAGAAATAATTGTTATTCCAAGATTACAAAGATGTAAGAGCTTAATCATAAATGATTAATAATTTTCTTAGTAAAGCTTTTCTTGTAATGCAGGAAATAGTATATCTAAAATATAAAATTAATAATTTTAATCAAAGGTTATAAACAATGAATTTAACTTTTAAGATAAGGTTTGTTCTATTCTTAAAAAAGTTAGTAAAAATTGCTTTGATATTTCAAACGATGTTTTTTTTGAGGAGTTCACTAATTTAAACTCTTTTAATCAAATTAAAGACGAGGAAAAAGACATTCAAAATTTTAATATAAATTAACTTTGGAGTATTGAAAACGAAGATATATTTAAAGGAGGAAGAATCGAATGGAAAGCTAATTATAGATTAAGACATTTTAAAACTGGAAAATATTTAACTGTTTATTAAAAAGATGATAAAGTTTTTTTTTTATTTATGTATTTTAATATATTTTTAAAAATTTAGTATCTTCTTAGATTAACTGAGAATCCTTGTTAATATAGCTTATTTAAATTTGTTTAATATTAACTAAATAAAGAATAAGAAAATTAGAAATTCATAAATAAAGATTGTATTTATATTTTTTAAAATTTTAAAACTTAACTTTTTCTTGGATATTCTAATATTTCTTAACAAATAAATGATATTAATTTTGCACTAACTAAAGATGGTTATTTTTTATATTTATATATTTTTTTTGTTATGTTTTTTTTGTTTATATTTATTTTTTTAGTTCGTTCACTTAATATTTTTCAAATGAGAAAAGCTTTTTAAGATGAAATTTGGGAAAATAATTTTCTTTTATATTGTTTTTAAATTTTAATAGAGTCTGCTTTATATATGAATAAAATAGTAAATTAATATTATTTAAAATAATAATTATAAATTTCTTCATTTAAAAGAAAAGTGAAAAGTATTTAAAAAATAAAGATTAAACAGGTTAAATTTTTTAAAAAATCTGTGAAATTTTAAATTAATTAAATAAATATATTTGTAATACTTTACTTACTAATATATTGTAATCATAAGATTTCGGAAAATTATCATTAATAAGATCAGATGTAAAATATAACTTTTTTTAAAAAAAATAAAATAAAATATTATTTTCAATATATATAGTTATTAAGAAAATAACATATTATTGATCTCTTATGCATATTTCTATTTTTAATATTTCCGAAAAAAGAGGAATTAAATTAAATTAATTTATAAGAAAAGGAAAACTATTTATTTGAAAATTATGAAATCAATAAAAGAAACCAGAAATAAAATTATGCCTTTTAAAATTATTTTGACTAAAGTATAGAAATAAAATAATAAAAACTTATATAAATAAAAAAAGTAAGGTAATATAGTAATACAATAATAAACGAAGAAACAATAAACTTAAAATTTGAATTATCATACTTAATATATAAAATATTAAAAAATAGCTGCTTTTAAAATTAAAAAAATTAAGAAAACATTTTCAAATTTATATAATAATTTAAAGAGTAAATTGGTTATGCTGAATTCGTTTGTGATTTTTTAATTAAATGCTTTGATTAAAATTAAAATATTCTTTAATAATTCTCCTGTCCTTAATTTATTGTAATGTTAAAAAGCTAATATAAATAGAAAAATTATTACTAAATTTAATAATTAAATAATAAAACACTACTTAATGCTATTATCACTGATCTTACAAAATTTCCAAAACATTCCAAACATGAAATAATTAAATTCCTCAGTTAAACTTGTGTTTATAAAAATTAGGCTCTTTATAATAATTAGGAAACTATTTTCAATGCCCTTATGTTAGATCCTTAAATAAAAAATCATATCTTATATAATATATTTATTTCTAATGAATAAAATAATTAATATGAATAGAATAACGTATATATAATTAAATAAATATTTAAAATATATATAATTTTAAATTATAGTAATAAAATTATCAATTTATATAAGACTTTTAATTTTTAAGTAATGTTTGTGAAAAAGATATAAAAAAGAAGAAATAATATATAATAAATTAACTTAATTTATATTCTAATTTATGCTTTAATAGAAATTATAATTCGTGTAAGTATTTCTCAAACTTTCTTTAACTTGAAAAACTTGTTTAGTTTTCATTAAAACCTTAAGTAGATGAATAAATAAGAGCAGAGATATTAAAATTAATTAATTATATATATATCGGTATGTTATTTTTTTTATAAAACTAATTTTATTTTTTATATAGACAAAGAACCTCGATTTGTTTAAAAGAAACCAAATTTTATTTAAATTTTAAATGTAAATTTAAATGATATTACTAAAAACATTTAGATGAAAAAAAGACAATCAATAATAAACAAAATGATTTAATCTGTTATAAATATCGAAAATAATAATTAAAAGGGAAGAGAAAGTATTTAAAGTTAATTTAATATTAAAAAACACTTAGATGATTAAAAATTATATAATAGTACAAAACAAACTGAAATTGAAAAAGAATAAAAAATATTAAATAAATTAAAAATATCTCTACTAAGTTATTTAAAAAGTGTAGAGATAAATAATAATTAAAAAGGTAAAAAAATGCAATAAGAATAAATATTTAATGTTTTTACTTTAGAAGTATTTAAATGTTTAAGAAAAATGTTAATATTCGGACTATTTAAAAATAATAGCAATAACAATAAAAAAATAACAATAACAATAAAAATAGTATTAATAATAACAATAAAAATAGTATTAATAATAATAATAATAATAATAATAATAATAATAATTTTATTGATTTTGAATTATATAAAACTATATTTTAACAGTATAAATTTTTTAGTTAATTTTCAGATAAAAGAACTTTTTATTTGAAAATAATGAAATAGAGTTGTTAGTAGAAATTTGTGTTAATTTTTTAGAATTTGATTAATATTATTTTTCTGCTCTAAAAAAATTAAATGTAAAAAGAAGATTTGAAGAAATTTAAGAAATAAAGTATAATAATAAAAAGTTTACCCTAATAGAAAATGGTATAATTATATTTTCAAAATTTTTATTTTTATTTTGTATTTAAACTTATAATTTTATTTTTAATATTTAAAATAATTGCATTATACATTTAAAAAATTAATAGGTATTTCTATTTTAGGCTTAGGTTTAGAAAACGGAATAAAATAAATATTCAATTTTTCATTTAGCCTTGATGGGAAAAAAGACTTTAAAAGAGAAAACCTTAATAGGAAGAAGATTTTGGGAAGCAAATATATTTAAAATGAGGTTATTACAGATCCTTATTTCTAAAGAATATAAGGACTTAAGAAGATACTTTAAAAATATATAAATAAGACTTTTATTTGTAAAAAAGAAGAAAATGAAAAAAAATATAACAACGACATTAATTTCGAAACTGAAATAAAAATTTAAATATGCGAAATTTTCAGTTATTTATTAGATGTTTAATAAGATTTTTATTTAAATAATATAATTTCTTGTTTCGAATAATAGTTAAAAGATCCTTTATTAATAATTGATATTGCAAATTTAATTCCTTAGGATTTATATTAAATTGGAGAATTTTCTAATAAATTTGACACAGTTTTTATATTTTTTTATTTTTTATTAAAATATTTATTTTAATTTTTAGTTCATTAATTATTCCTAAGAAAAAATTCCTAAAAATTTTGATTAAATATTACAAAGACCTTTTTTAGAAAGTTTATTAATAAGTTTTTATTTTGCAGATGATTTTATTTTAAGAAATTGTATTGGTGATTTAATAAAAAAAGTATGTTGTTAGAAAAGTGAATTGCTTAATAATTTATAAAACATAGTTCTTTTAATATATTCTGATGATAAAAAAATGTACAATCAAATTTACAGTTTCGTAAAAACACTTAAAATTTTAGTTTCTTATAGTTAGGTTTGGCTTTAATTAGATAGTAATATTGAAGTTTAAGAAAAACTAAGCTAAACTAATCAAGTTTTGGGAAAAATTAAAGAATGCTTGGTAGGATAAAGCTCAGATATTTCTTTAAAATAAACAATTTTTAATAATATTAAAGGATAAGATTTAATTATTGAATTAATAGAAAGAGGATTTATTCTTTTTCAAAATAAAAGAGATTAATTTTAATTTATTAAAAGTGATTAGATTCCTTCTTTTGAAAATAATACAGCTATTAAAATTGTGGATATGATAAAACGCTGCTTTTAAATTTTACTTTTATTTTGTTAAAATAATTAAGTTAATCAAGAGTAAATATTTGATTTATTTTATTTTACTTTTTTTTTTTTTTTAGGTTAATATTTAAATCGATTTTTAAAAGTCTTTTCGAAATTAAGGATTTTAATTTTGGGCAAATTTAACTCATTAAAGAAATCTTCAAAAATAATCAAAAAATTTTTCAATTGATTAATATTTCTTTTATAGAAGACATAGCTTCTTTTATTATAATTAATGGTAAATATGCTGAATTTCTTGAAGTTTTTTTAGTACTTTTAACTAATAATTAATATTAATAATTTAAAAATTTCAAAAATATATAATGCCATATACTCAGGCTTCTTTTTGGAGGAAATACTTCGAATTTGTATAATGTAATAATTAGTTATATTATTTTCTTATTATATATAAAAAATAGCCTTTTTAATAGATTTAAAGTAATGATAATATGTATTAAGAATTTTAATTTTTTGAATATTAATCAGATATTAAAAGATACAAATAGTCATATATATAAGTATAATAAATCTTTAAATTATAAGAAAAAAAATACATTTTTTTTTTTATAAAAAAAATAAAAAGATACTTTCATTATTATTATCTGATGATATTGAAAAAAATATGATAAATAAAATTTAAAATAATGTTTCTTTCAGTTCTTTACTAAAATACTTATTAGACAATTAAATAGAACTTTAATAATACAAAGATAATATGAGTGAAGTTTAACAATTATAAGGATTTATTTTAAAAATTTTATATATATTTATCATTAAAATGAAAAAAGAATAAACCAAAACTATTCTAAGTGAAGATTAGAATTTTTAAACGTACATAATGTTAATTACCAATAATTTACAATAATCAGAAAATATAAATTTATTATTTTAGTTATAGTTAATTGATTTAATTATTCCTCTTATTAATATTTATACTGAAAATATTTTAAAGGAACAACAAAAAAATATTCATTCAATTAATTGTTAAAAAAGCTTTTCTTTTAAATAAATTTTAAACTAATTTGCAAATTTCTACGTAAGATAAGCTGAATAGTAACAAAATATTAAAAAAGTTAAATTTCAATAATTATTAATAAAATAAATTAAAAAAAAAAAAAAAAGATATGCATTATTAAATAATTTATGGGAAAACAATAGGCAAAGATAAAAATAAATTAATAAATTATGCTATTCTTATAAAATACCTCTTCCTCAGTTTTTAAAAGGTGATAATTAAGTTGCCCTAGATTCAATTTACGAACTTTAAGAAGATTAAACAATACTTGGATTTTAGAAAAATAATTTATATAACATAATAAATTAAAAGAATTCTTTATAATCATCAATAAAATACGATTAATCCCTGTAAATAGAAAATCATTAAAAAGCAAGAAATAATACTAAAAATTAATATTAATAAAGTATGCATACATTTAAAAAAGATGAAGAAGAAGTATAATTAAAAGAATAAGAAGTTAAATAAAACATTAATTTTGAAGAAAGCAATTATTTAAACGAATAAATGGCTTATTTAAATATTATTTAATAATGGGGATTGTTTAGGAATAATTTTACAAAACATGAAAAACTTCAAAATAATATAAAAAAAGAATCGTGTATTTTCTCTAATGGATATTAAAATATTTAAGGAATTTTTATGAAAAATATCAAAGAAATGTAAAAAGAAGTCCTTCTCTTGCCCGAAGATTTATTAATTAAATGTCTAAGTAATCTTTTTATTTATTTATTTATTTTATTTTAAATATTTATATATTAGGTTATATTTAATTCTGGAAAACTAATAATAGCAATTAAGATAGTGTTATTTATATTTTAAAAGGTTTATGTAAATTCCTTAAAGATGATGAAAGCGAAAAAATGATCGAAAAATAGTTACTTTTGGATAAATTAAATGGAACTAAAATTGCTTTAATGCTTATTTGGGAAGAAAATGAACCTGAAATGCTATATTATTTAGTAAAGTTTCTTAATTTATAACTATAAGGAGGAAATTTGAAAGTATAAAGAACTACTTTTGATTTTTTTTAAAGTAATCCTTAATGTGAGATATTTTTTTATAAAATTCATTAGATTTTGGACACATAAATGAGTACTTTGGACAACTATTATTAGCAATGTTAAAAAGGAAAAAAAATTGTTGAAAAAGTGTTAAGATTATTATAACTTTTCTGTGAAGGACATAATTTAGATTTATAAAATTATATAAGGAATTAGTTTAATAGTAAAAAATCCTATGATTTAATTAGTTAAATTATTAAATTGTTATGCTCTTTTAAAATATGTAATTCTTTTTACGAATCTATTAGTTAATGTTTTGATACTTTAACAGAACTTATTTAAGGTTTTAATCAATTATAGATATCAATATTATTTATAAATAAATATGTTTTTAATATATAAAAGGACCTTGTATTTAAAATTAATTAGTTATTATTAATAGTAAGTTTTTAGAATATGCTGTACTTATTTTAAGTGGGGATGAAAAGATTTTTATTTTTGATAATGAAGAAAATAGTAAATATTTTTTTAATTTATTATATAAATAGATAAAAAGTAAATAAAGGATAAATAAATACTTAAAGTTAGTAATATTCCTAAAAAAAAGAAGATTACATCATCCAATAATAATTAAAAAATATTTCTTAAGAATAATCAATTTAAATGAGGAGTAAAACAAGTACGTTCAATCTATACTAGTCTTGTAAAAAAATAAAAACAATAGATCTTAAAATATAATTTTATATTTATTTTATTTAAAATAAAAGATATTAATAAAAAAGTACCTATCCACAAAGGAAAATTTGCCAGATTAAAATATAAATGCTTAATAACAATAGTAAGCTTATTAGAAGGAAATTAAAATTCTAATGAAATAATATCATAAATAATGCGTACAATACCATTTAATGTATTAACAAATAATATTACTCACATATATTTACTGTACAAGAAATATTCAAAAGATGAATATAAAATAGACCTTTTTAACAGAGTAGATGAAGAGATAAATGAAAAAACTCCTGAAGAATATTATGAATTAATAATTGAAAATGGATTTAATGCATATTCTTTAGTAAATTTATTTATGGAAAATAAATAAATAGTAATAAATAATAATGAGGAAATAAAAGAATATATTAACGAATTCGAAAAAAATGAGGAAGAAGAAACCCTTCAAAAACTTTTTAAAATAAACTTTCTGTCCCAATTTTCAAAAATAGGAGGTGCTGTGTTAAATTTAGGAAGAGGAGCAATAAAAGATTTATATAAAAGTGCATTTAGAAAAGGAGAAATTAGCAAAAAGTAATAGGAGTAATTTAAAAATATAGAAAAAAAAGAATAAGCAAAAGAAGCCATTTCGTTTTTTAAAAATAATGTTAAAAAAATTGAAATTGTAAGAAATGATAAACTATAGTTTATTTATTTTCCTATTTTACCTTTTTGTAAATTACTTCCTGATGAAGTAATAAATGATTTTAGAGAAAAAGTTGATCGTACTTCAACTAAGAGCAAAATCGGTTGTCTTATTGATTAATCTAATGACATAATTAATATTATGAAACATGAAGAAAAATTAAGATAAATCTTTGATAAAAATAAAATTTTAGCTATATTTTGTCTTAATGTTAAGTTCTGGGAAAGTGCGGCTTTTTATGCTGCTTGCATTATTAATTTTATTATAATTTGTAGTTATAGTGAGTATTTTATGGATCAAAATATTTTTTAAAATGATCATAATTATAAAAAAATACTTTAAAAATCAAGGCTTGAAGATCCTCGATTGTTTTTTAAAAAAGATTAAACAAGTAATCTTATATATATATGTGTTTTTTATATAAATATTCTTAAAGATACTCTATATATTATTTTTGTTTTTGGTATTCTTAATTTGTCTTTTTATTCAATAGTTGTCGCTGTTTTTTTAATGAAAAGGGCACCATTGTTAATAGGTGATTTATGGAATTAATATTTTGAACTATATTATTAGAAAGAGGAAGACAAAGAGCACAAATAAGTAATCTATTTTTTATTTTTATTTTTATAGAAATATTAAAGGAAATTACAAAATTAGGAATGAGCTTAATAAAAAATTTTTTTTTTTTATAATAAATGCTTTAAAAAGTATACTTATTTTGTTATAAGATTATTAAATAATATATTATTCGTTTAATATGGCAATTGTTATTTTTGGTTTAGTTATTCATCCTTTTCTTTTTGCGGGATGCTTATCTGATATTTTAAGAACTAAACATTTAAAAAATGTAGTTAGGGCAGTTTGGAATCCTAGATATGAAATACTACTTTTAATGGTGCTTCTCTTTTTGCTTGAATATTATTTCACCCTTGTTTCTTATATACATTTTTATGAGGATTATTAAGGGAAATGCAATATACTGTGGAAATGTTACCTTGTTAATTTTGATTGGACATTTAAAGGAGATGGTGGAGTCGGTACAATGCTATAAGAACCGGAAAGTCTGAAATATTATATTTAATAAGGAGTAGAATATAATGGAGTTTTACAGAGTCTTGCTGGAAAGTTTTTTTAGAGATTGATTTTCGATAATTTATTGAATATTTTAATTATTTAAATTCTTATTAATATTTTAAAAGGAATTATTGTGGATAAATTCAGATCTTTAAAGGATGCACTTTAAGATAGAGAAAATGATGAAAAATTTTACTGTTTTATTTGTGGAATTAGAAGAGAAGTTCTTGATAAAGCTTAAGAAAGTAAAGGATTTTTTTATCATATTAAAGTATTTTTGTTTTTTTTTGTTTTTTTTTAATATTTTTTATTTTTTTAGCAAGAACATTATATGTGGAATTATATTTATTATATAGCTTATATTCAGTTTAAAGAATAAACTGAATATAATGGAGATGAAACTTATATTCGGGACAAAATCAATAATTATGATCTTGGTTGGTTACCAGTTAAAAGAACTTAATCAGTTTATGAAAAAGAAGATGATTTATAAAAAATTAATTTAACTAATAATATGATTGAAAATGTAATTTTTATTTTTTATTTTTTATTTTTTATTTTTAATATTTTATTTTATTAGATTAGAGATATTAATGAAAAAATAAGAAGCTGTTAATAAAATATTAACAATGAAATTGATAATTAATATTTGTTATTATAACAAAAATCGAATTAATAATAATGATAATATTAAGAAATATTTATTTTTTTAATATATATTATTAAAATAAATTATTTTATTTATTAATATATTTTTTTTTTATATTTATTAAAAAAAATAAAAAAATACCTAAATAAAATTTTTGAAATTTATTTAAAAAAGTAACTAAATATTATTATGGAACAATTTTTTTTTAAACATTATTTCCATTTTTGCTTTTCAGAATAATAAATGCAACAAGTCAATAATAAAATTTAAGAAAAATGGTAAATCATTTTCATCATTAAAAAAAAGCAATTACAATAAAACGTAAGAAAATTAAAAAAATAAAAATATAAATAACTAAAGAAAATCCTAAAACACATATGACCCCAAAAAAAGACCCTATTACATAGAATACAACTCCAAAGATGCTAATGCAAATACAAGTGTGGAACAATAAGAAGAAAGTACTCAACATTCAGGCTGGAATATATTTTTATTAATTCTAATATTAATAATAATTTCATTAATAGCTTTTTACATATATTATAAGTACAGAGAATATATAATAAGGACAGAAGGAGCAATGAAAACTGAAGCAGGTATAAGAACGCAAGAATTAAATACAAAGTAGAAATTATAATTAACATAATTAACATTTAATGATTAAACATATAAAATAACTCAGCATCTATATACATAAGATGTAATTGTAAAACCAAGATAAGGTATTTATTTTTAATAAAAAGCATCTATATTTAAAATAAATAAAGAAATTGCGAATGATATTGTATTAGGATAATTTTTATAAGCGGATTTCAATTAAGAAAATTGTTATAGAATTATAATTGCAAATTAACCTATAAGTAAAAAAATAACATCTTATTTTGAAATTGAAATTTAAGATTTTGAAAACGAAAAGTGTGAAATAGGAATTGGATATTGTTCTATAGATATTTTTAAAGATTGTAATTAATAAATTGTATAAAAAAAATTAATAGTGATTATTCGAAAAAAGCTGTTTATTTTAAAAGCGATGGATAATTATTTATTTAAGGCAAAGTTAAATTCGATTGCTTTTTAAATGCACTATAATATGGAGAAACTATGGGTATTTTTTAATTTCTATATTTTTTAAAAATATTTTATAGGGATTGGATGTAATATTTAAGAGAATAGAATTTGGATTACACATAATGGAGAATTTTTAAATCCTCCTTCTAAAGACGAAATAAAAGCAAAATTGGTATAATAAGGAAAAAAATAAAAAAAAGAATCAATAGAAATAGAAGAATAGATGCCAAACATAACAACTTAAAATATAGATGCTTAAAATGATAAAAAAATATAAATAGAATAACAATAAGTACAAAAAGAAGAATAATTAAAAAAATAAAGATTTATTTAAGTAAAATTGATATAATATTTTTATATTTTTTTATATAATTAAAGACAAAATTTCATAACGAAGAAGATGTATACCCATTTGTAATTGCAAATAATAAATGTAAAATAGATATTAATGTAGGAGGACATCCATTCAAATTTATATAAAAAGAAATAGAAAAAGGATTATTAATTTGAAAAAAATATGTTTTAAATAATAAATTATTGTTAATTTAAAAAAAAAAAATTATTAAAAATAAAAAAAAAAATTTAATAATATGATTAAAAAAAATTTTTAATAATATATATTTTGAAAAAAAAAACATTTGTAAAAAAAGAATTATATATTAATTTATTTATTTATTTATTTATTTATTTATTTATTTATTTTATTTATTAATTTATATAATTTATTTTGTATTTTATTAGCATTGATAATATATATGTATTTTTTAATTTCATATTTTTTTATATACATTATTTAATGTTTTAATTTAATATTATATATTATTTTATTATTTTTTTTTTATATTAATTATTTTTTTTATTATTTTTTTCATTTTTCATTGTTTTTTTTTTTATTTCATTTTTTTATTTTACTTATTTCTAATTTTTATTTATTAATCTTTTTTTACTAATTTATTTATTATATTTTTATATCAAATCGTTTCTTTTAAAGTTATCTTATTAAATAAAATTTTAAAATTTCATCTTTTTTTGTTATAATTTATTTTATTATTTATTTTATTTTAGATTAAAGATTTTTAAGATTGTTATATTTAAAAATTTTTCTAATAAAATTATTGATTTATTTAAAATAAATATTTATTATTGTATTAATATTATTTTAGTATTTCATATTAATCTTGATAATTATTTCTTTAAATATTATATAATACTTAATTTTAATTATTTAAATTATTAAAAGCTTTTTATTTTAGCAAGAATTCATTTATATATTTGGGATAATCTATATTATATTTATTTATTGTGTTAAATTATTTTTCTGATATATCTTAATTAACTATTAATTTATATAATATACAAGTTAAGCTAAAATTTAACTTTTTTTACATTAAATATTAGATGAAGCTTCCAATAATAAATAGCTTAGCTGATTATTATAAGAACTATTTGTTTAGTTTTTTTTTTTAATCTTCACAAAACACATCATTATATAGTATTTATGTCTTATTAAAATAAAGTAAAAATTAATCTGTTTTCTATAATTTTTTTGCAAATGTATTATTTTAATAACTTTTTTTATGTAAATCTGATTTTATATGCTTATATTTTTTTAAAAAAATAATAAAAGATTTAATATTTTAAATATTTTTTATTTTACTTAATTATATTAATAAAAAATGCAATTACATAAATTGCAATAAGTGTTTTCTATTTCAGGACAAATTTCTTACTAATTATATTTAGTATATATAAAAATTAAAAAATATATATAAAGAATTTAAGCAAATATATATTTTTATATTATATATTATATTATAAATATATATATATATATATATATATATATATATTTAATTCATTTCTTATTTTTTTCTGTATTATTATAAAAAAATTCTATGTAAAAAATTTTTTTTTTTCATATTTATAGCCTTTTTTTGTTTTACTACAGAAAAAATTTAAAAAATTACGTGCAAATAATTTATATTATTATTTATTTTTATTTAAAAAAATTTAATATATTTATATTGTGAAATAAAAAAATTACTAAAATATTTTATTTCTTAATTTATATTTCATTTAATTTTGTCAAATGATCATTATAATACATCTTTTCATTTTTTAAGTAATCTTCCTTTTTATTTATATTTTTAATTAAAGCTACTTTATAATAGTTTATTTAAAGAATATTTATACATAATCAATTTATAGTAGGAATCCAGGAAAATAAGGTTTAAAATCAAGGTTTAACTTAGGAACAATGCTCATATATCTTTTATTTTTTATATATAATTAAATATTTATTATTAAAGAAATATTATTATATTTAACTTATTAAAATTTTAATAATTAACTATTATTTCGAATTGATAATTGCATTTAATATTCTTAGGTGTCATTATAAATAAATGCTCTTTTTACAAATTTAATTCTAATATTTTTCTATTTATGTTTAAAATGCATTGATATTAAAGTTTTTATTTATTATTGATATATTTAACTTTGCTATTTCTTCCTATTCAACTTTAATTTTGTTTTAAGAGCCTTTTGGTCTGCCTTTTTTATTCTTTACATTTATTATTTATAATGATTAATTCATAAAAAAAATAAATTAAATACTAATTAATTTTAATTTATAAAAAATATAAATATAATTTCAAGCCCATATATAATTTTAAGATTTGATAATTAATTTTTTATAATAATTTATTGAAAAAAAATTACTTTTAGATTATCAAAATGCTTTTTTTTTTTTTTTTGGATAATATATAAAATTATTTTTTTTATAATAATATTGTAATATCAAAGGTTAATATATATATATATATAAATAATATATATTTTTAAATATAATTGTCATTTTTATAATTTATTATATATAAATATCATAATTTTATAATTTATTTAATATAAATAAATATAAAGAGTAATATATTTACAATTATTTACTTATTTATTATTTTCTTTTTACTTTATATTTTCTCAATTGTAATAAAATTACAATTTTATATCTAAAAAAATTAATATTTAAATTATAAAATAAAATTAAAATTTTAAAAATAATTTACATTAATTATATTTGTAAATAAAATAAAAAATTGAAAAAAAATAAAATAAAAAATCTATCCAAAAATTTATTTTAATATCTTTAAAAAGTAAATAATTTTAAGGTTGGTTATCACAATATTCTAATATCATTTTAAATAATTGAAAAGTTTGATTTTTTTTGATAATAATAATAAATAAATTCATTTATTTAAATTTATATAGTATCATTATTAATAATATGATTTTTATGAGTTTATAATCGCAATATTAATAACTTTTTTTATTTATATTTTTAATTTTTTAATTGATACAATTGTTTTGTGATTAATAAAACATATTCAACAACTTAATTATCTAAATGATAAAATGAAGTTAAAAATAAAATATTAATACAAAACAAAAACAAATTTATTTTATTGAAATTATATTAAATTTATTTAAAATAGATATTCATATAATTCTAAAATATTTATGTAAAATTTAGATAAAATTATATTAAAAAACATACAAAGTCTTTAACCTTTTATTAATTATTTGTAAAAGGCTTAAAAAGACTTTAAAATAATATAATTTAAATCAATTCTCTTTATCGATTAAATAAATTTAAAATAATAAAAAAAATAAAGTTAAATAAATAACTACTTTTTTTTGAATAAGTAAAAGTTAATTCAATGATTAAAAATATATTTCAAAGTAAAAAAATAAATTGCAAATTTTAAAGATGCAAGGAAATCAAAATATTAGTTTAATTCTAATTTATAAAAATGAAAAACTATAAATTATTTTATAATAATAAAATATAAAAAAATTAATATATAAATATATTTAAAAATTGTAAAATAAATTAATTAATTTTATAAAAAATAATAATAAAAATTTATTATTATTAGTTTTATGTTTTATTTTTTAAAATATATATATATAAATTCTATTAAGCAAACAAAAATTAATAAATTAAATGAAAAATAGTCTTTAATGAAATTTAATCGTTTATTTACTAATATTTTATATATATATATATTTATATATATATATATATAAGTTTTGAATCTTATTATTTTATTGCATCATTAATTTACTTTATTAGTTTATTTATATTTAAAAATATTTTTTTATTTANATTAATTTTTATAATCTTTTATAAAATTAATTCTTTATATTTTTAAGATTAATAATAATAGTTATAGTATATTAATCTCATATAATCAGATAAATACTAGATTTAAATTTTTCTCTATAAAAATAAATTCAATTAGATTAAGATAATATTATTATAATAAAAAGACAAAATTACGTGTTTTTGTTTTATTTTTTATTAGATCATTCAATTATAAAAAATAATAAAATTTCTAAAAATATTAAATAAATAATTATTTGGGTTTAGAGATGCTAAAAAGATAGATAATATTTGTTTTTATATACTCTTTATATATTTGGTTAATTACAATTAACTTCCATAAATATGTTTTTATAAATAAGTTACATGTGTGAAATAATAAATAATATCCTTTGAAAAGTAATATCTCTTTTATTAAATCATGTTTTTGTAAAAAAAAGGTTATGAAAATTATTAAATATTAAAATCTAAAATAAAGTAATATATATATACATGTAAAAAATCAATTATTTTATCAGTTTATGAATGTTTAATTTTTGTTTTTTTATATTTGATATTATATATAAAAAAATAAAAATAAAGATTGTAATTAGTTTTATATTCTTAAATAATATACTAAAGAAATTATTATTACCATTAATAAAATTGTTATATTGCGAATTTTATTCATAATAAAAATATTTTAAGTGTTTTTTATTATATAATTAATATTAACGTAATAATTGTTTATAATGTTATTTTTATATACATATATTTTTAAAATATTTTTAAAAGTTTTTTTACTTATTTTTATTCTTTGAATATATTTATTTCTTAAAAGTAAAATAAATATTATTAAATATATAATATCAATTCATTCCTTTTAGTATTTAATATTGTTTTAAATAATATAATATTTTATTAAAATGATTTTAAAAAAGATTAATAATATAAAAAAATAATTTATTAAAAATTAATAAATAATAAATATTTTTTTTTTTACAATTTATCTTTTATTATTTTGAATTATAGATTAAAAAAGTAATAAAAGTTAAGATATTTATAGTTAAAACAGTAATATTTTAATGTTTAGTCGTATTTTCTTGATTATTCAAATTTGATAAAGATTGATTTTTATATTTTGTTTATTATAAATATATTTATTTTTAAATTTATTAGATGATTGTAATTTTTATTTATTAAAATATATTTTATTATTATTATTATTATTATTATTATTATTATTATTATTATTATCATTTTTATAAAATTAGTTAAAAGAATAAGTTTAAACTTTTTATCATAAACGAATATAAAAAGAAATGATTAAAAACATTTTTAAAATTTAATTTAATATATTTATAAATTTTATTTTTTCTATCTTTTTTTTTTAAAAAAAAAATTATTCTTTTCTTTTAATATCTATATAGATTATATACTTAGAAATATATATTTTAAAGCAAAACATAATAGTTTATTTTAAATTAATTATTCTAATTTATATTATATATATTTTTAGTTATTTTTTATGGGTTTATAATAAACTTTTATATTATTTTTAAACTTGGGATATAAATATTAATAGAGAGAAAAACCTTTTTATTTTTAGTAGAAATTGCTTATATAATTTAAGTTGAATTATTTCTTTAACTTTATTAATAGGAAAGGTTCGAAATAGTAATAATGTATTACTATTATAATTCCTTTTATCGTAAAATTAAATGTAATAATTGATTTTTTTAAAAAAAAAATTAAAAAATAACATTTTATCTTATAGATAATAATTTAAAAATAAATATTTATTTGTTATTTTAATAAAATTTCTAATTTATTTATTTAAACTTTTTTTTTTGTTTCTTTAATTTTATTTAAAAAATGAATCTACAATAAAAAAATTCAAGAATAATATAAAATGGCCTTTATTTTTTTATTGAGTTTAAAAATAAAATAAAATATTATATTAAAAAATTAAGATTAATCTAAATTTTTTTTATTAAATATTATTTTTAATTATGAAATATTATATTCTATAATATTTTTTTAATTTTTTTTGTTATTATATATATATATGCTTTTTATAATTTTATTTAATAATTAAACTTTAAAAAATAAAAATGAACTGGGAATCATTTAAAAAGTAATATTATGTCTATGAAAATAATTTGAAATAAAAACTTAATTAATTAAGTAATACTTCTTTTAAAATTTCAAAATAAATAAGCTTTAATGAGTATATTTAATAAAAAAATATATATTATACTCATTTTATTATTTGAATAAAAATAAAAAATATATATATATATATAAAAGTAAATTAGATTACGAGAGTTCTCAATTAGATAAAAATCACCAAAAATAATAATAAATTTTATAAGGTTTAACATAAGAGTGCAAAGATTAAGATAGATAAATATAAATACTTTTAAGATAGGTAGATGAATATATTAATTATTTCATAATTTAATAATTTTTAAATTAATTATTAAAGATAGATAATTTATTAGAAAGTAAAAATTTGAAATAAGATGAAAAATAATTGTATATATAATAAAACATGCTTAAAAGATTTAGAGAAATACAAATAGATCATATAAAGGAACATAAAAGACTTCAAGTAAATAAAATACAATTTTTTTTCTTAATAATAAAAATAAGTAATCATTAGAATTTAATTAGTAAAAAATTAGTTTATTTAATGAATCTATGAACATTAAACCTTTAAATTAAAAAGAAAATGGAATTTTATAAAAAAATGAAGAAGAAAATATACTTATAAATGACGCAAACATTTTAAATTAATCATTATATTAAACTAATGACATTATTTTGTAAAAAATAAAAAATATAAAAATAATTTAATCTTTATTTTTTAAAGGACTGCAATTAATATAAAAAATTCACTTTTTAGTTAAAATAGTTCACTTAGGAACGTAAATTAAAAAGTTGTAAATTTATCAAGTAAATATTTTATTTTTATATCGAAACAAAATAAATGATTTTTTTAATTAAAATAGAATCGATTCCTTAAATAGAAAAAATTTTAGAAAAAATTCATTTCGCATAATTTAAAAGATAAATTATAATATCATTTTTTATTGCATTATGCATAATTATATGTGTATATAAAATATTTTTTTTGTGACAAAAAAAAAAAGTTTTTAAAGAAATATATTTAATAAAATAAAAATATTTATATAAAAAAATATATATATATATATATAAAAATGGATTAATAATAAGAAATAAAATAAAAATTATGTTAACCAGATTATAAAAGAAAAGATTATTGGAATAAAAGATATGAATCAAAAGAAACATTTTATGATTGGTATTGTGGTTATAAAGAATTAAAAGAAGTATTTGATAAATGCTTCTAATTTTAAAAAGATTTAAAAATATTAATGGTAGGATGTGGTAATTCGCCTTTATCAGAATAAATGTACGACGATGGTTATAATAATTTATTATCAACTGATATATCTGATATAGTAATTAATTAATTATAAAAGGATAGTTAGAAAAAAGGGAAGAACTTAATATTTGAAGTATAAGATTGTACTAATTTATCATATTAAAATGAAACTTTTGATGTAATTTTCGATAAGGTAAAAGAATCCTATTAATAATAATTAATTAAGAAAATAATTAAAAATATAAAAAGGGAACTTTAGATGCTATTAGTTGTGATAATGAAGGAGAATTAGTTGTTAAAAAAATGCTTTTAGAAATGAAAAGAGTTATGAAAAAAAATGGATGTATTGTTATAGTTAGTTTCGGAGATTTATAAGAAAGATATAAAATGTTTAAAGATAGTTTTGATTTCGATGAATTTTAATTTTAAATTTGTAGAAAATATCTTTCTTTGGAAGCTTAAATTACAAATCTATTAAGACATTATTCAGGAGGTTTAAATTTAAATTTAGCAATGACAAATAAAACTGTTTTGCTTAATGTTTTTAGAGAACTTAAAAATATGAAAAAGAATATTCAAGAAGAAGTTGTTGTTAGTAATATTATTGATTGGAAGTCATTTGAAGAGAATTTGTATAGAAATGAAGATTAAAATAATAATTAAGACAATTTATTAGATTATTATGATTAAGAAAATAAAGAATAAGATAATGAAAATAAAATAGTCGATTAAGTTGATTAGGAAAAGACAGAAAAAGAAAATAACAAAATGAAATAGAAGAAGTGCAAAATGAAGAGAAAAAATAAAATAATCATAGGAAATAATCTTAATGCTTTATTTATAAAATTTATTTTAAAAATTAAGTGTAATAATGAATAAATATAAATATATATATTTTATTTTTTTCAATAAATCTAAAGCTTATATTTAATTATTATAATTTCACCACTTTATAAAACTCTTGAATAATTTTATGTTTTTTAAAAATTTAATTATAAAAATATAAGTAAATAGTTTATATTTGTTTATTGTTTTGTTTTTTTTATATATAATTATTATATTTTGTTTTTTTGTTAATAAAATTTATAATAAAAATTTGTTAAAATAATAAAAAGTTAATATTTTATTAAAATAATGAAATCAGTAACAGCTTTATAGGCATATAATTGTTTAAAATTACTAGAAAGTTAAGAAAAAATGGAATAAAACTCATTTTCATTTGATTTATCACAAAAATAATTAAATAGTGAAAATGAAGTAAACTAAAAATTTTTTTTTTTTTTTTTTTCAGAATTAAATAATTTATAAAAAAATAGTCATTTTATAAAAATAAAATAATAAAATTTTCTTAAAAATTCTAGGAAAATTCATAAAATAGAATCAAAGACAAAAAAGATTAAGAAATAAAAAAATACAAGATAAATTTTATTGAAAAAAATAAATAAATAAAAAATCATCTCAATAATAATTAAATACTATAACTGTCTAAAAATAATCTAGCTTTTAAAAATCAAATTAATACAGAGAGAAATAGAAATAGATAAATAAATAATAAATCAGCTTAGTATATAAAAAATAAGAATAATTGTTTTTTAAATTTTTCGAAGAATCATTAAAATTAATAAATTAACGAATATTAATAAAATTAAGATAATTAAAACTTCTCAGATTATGACTTTAAACCTAAAATTATTAATAAATCACCCTAAAGATCTTAAGAAGTAGTGATATAATAATTAATTTCATGGAATAACAAAAAAAATCATAAAATTATATTTTAAAGTATATAAAAAAAGTAGCAAGAAATGAAAGAAGTAACTTTCAAACCTATTATAAATGAGAAATCAAAATAAATAGTTCAGAAAAATGTATATAAATAAAATAAAATATATAAAATACTAAAAAGGAATTAAATGAAAATGTAATTGAAAGGTTATATAAAAAAATTGATGAGAATAATGAAAAGTTAAGTACTTTAAGAAAACAAAAATATGATAGTTAATGTCCTTTTTATCCGTGTATAAATAAAAAATCATATTAATTAGCTTAAAATGTTATAAAATATATTATAATTTATTATAAAAATACAAATTATATATAATTATAGATAAAAAGAAAAAGTTAATAAAAAAATATAAATAGACTTTGTTAGTAATAAAATAGTTAATAAAATGTATTAAAAGAAAGAAGCATCACTGAAAATTTATAGGTTATTTGCAAAAATATTTAATAGTAATAATTATCCCCCAAAATTCAAATAAATAAAAACTAAGAAAACTTATAAAACTCTGATTTTTGCAAACAAAAATAATTCAATAAAAGAAATTAATAATAATAAAAAAATAATTTAAGTTAATAATTTTAATAAAAATTCATAGTTTCAGAATAAGATTTAGATGTTTAGGAAGTATTATATGATTAAAAATTTAAATATATTGTTGATTTAATTAAATAATTATGATTTATATTAATTAATATATATATATACAAAAATCCTTTTTCAAACAGATTTTAATATTATAATAAAACAAATATTTATATAAAGCATTTAAAAACCTATAATTATTTATTTATATTCTCAATTGATTAATAATTTTTTACCAATTTTTAGAAAAATAATTTACTTTGTATTTTTTGTTTTATATAAATAAAAGATACATAAAATAAAAAATTTTAGTTTTATAATATATAAAAGTTATAATCTAAATTATTTTATTTTTTATTTTTAAATTAATTTTTTATTTATTTATATATATTTATATATAATTATATATTTTTTAATTTTTATTTCTTTATTTTTTAAATAATATCCTTTATTAATATTTTATGACGAAAATCAATTATCTAATTCTTTTTTATTTCTTTAATAGAATTATATATTTATTAATAATTGACTTTTGTTTTAGTTTTTTTTTCGAGACAAGATGAATACTTTTAAATTATGTTTTCTGATTTAATTCTTACTCTATATAATAATTAAATTTTTCTTAATTTAATTTATACTTCATTCGAAAATTTACTAAACCAAAACATAATTTGAAATATTTTTTTGCTATTAAATTCACTTTGAACTTTTATCCCTATAACATTATTAAATTTTAAATTATAAATCAGATTTGCTTATAAACAATTTATATAATTAATAATTATTTAATATTATTGTTAATACAATAAATGCTTTTGCTCTATAATAAATTTTATTTTGATAATAATTTAATAAATTCTTAATTTTTATTTTATAATTATACAAAATTAAAATAATGTAATAATTTTATTTTATTTATTTAAATAAATTATAATATTAAATCATTATTTTATTATTTAAAATTATTTTTAATATAATAAAAAGATATTTAAATGTACTATTTAATTTTAAATATGATAAAAGTTTTTATGTCTATATATATTATTTAAATATTGTACTTAACTTTATTCTAATTAATAACTTTTACTCAAATAAATAAAATCATCTATACAACTTCTTTAATTTATAATTAAACATATTTCTTTTTATTTACGTATAAATATGGATTTAATAGTTTTTATTTTATTTTAGATTCGTATAAAAAATATAAAACATCATATAAGTTTTTATACTTAATAGAAATCTAATTATTATTTTTATTAATTAAAAACTATTAAATTTATTAATAAAACTTTTAGTAATTAAAACTATAGATTTTTTTTAGTTTATTAATTTTTACCATTTTATTTGAATCTAAAGAAATTACATAAATTTGTATTTGTAAAATAGTTAAGATAATTTTGCTGATAAGTTAAATTCAATTAATACTAAGATATTTTTCAAAAGTATTTTATAGAAACTGATACTAATTAAGGAAATGAAAACATTTTTTTATTGACTAATATTGATTGTTCATTTAATTAAAATATATAAATATATAAATTTTCTGATAATACCATATTGTTTATTCTAAAAATAACTATTGTAACAATAAATAAAATATTAAATTAAAATTGAATTTTAATAATATTTTTAAGTATTTTTTTATTTTTAATAAAAGGAAATAAATTTTCTTAAACAAAAAAAAATTTTAAAATAACTTAAATATAGTTTATAATACACAATCTTAGCTTGTGAATATTAATTTTCTAAAAAATTAGAGAAATAAAAAAATGTAATGTAATTTAATTTTTATGCAAACAATAAAATAAAATACCAAAAGACATGTAAATATTTATAGACGAATTACATTAAACGTGTATAGAAAAAAAAAAACACCACTTCGCTTTGAAATTGGATAATTTTATTTTTTATATAATTATAATTAAAAAAGAAAATGAAGATAAATCATATTTATTTTAAATAATGAAAAAAATAAACTTATCAAGGTAATATTTTAAATTTTATTTTTTTATATAAAAATAAAAAAAGTAGAGAAAAAACATGAAATTATGAAACTATAAAATTTTATAAAACATACTAGACGAAAAATAATTAGATTATATAAAAATAATATAAAACAAATCTAAAAAAAATGAAATTTAAAAATAAGTAAATAAAATTAAAAAAATATATTAAAAAAATAAGAAAAAAAGATAATAATTATAATAAATTGTTAAAGATTTAAATTTTAATTAAGTATAAATGATAAATAAATGTATAATTAATAAAAATAAAATAAGTTAAAAGAAGCAAAGACATATATAATGGAAAAACTAAATTATTAGAAATAAAAAAATGAATATAAAAAAAAATATTTATAAAATTATAAAAATTTATAAAAAAAAAATTATTATTAAATATATTAATAATATTAAATATATATTACAATACTAATAATTTTATATATAAAAAAAATATTAATAAAATGAAAAATATAATAAATATAAACTTTTAATATAAATAATAAAATATATATCAAATTAATAATAATATTAATATTAATAAAAAAAAAAGTATAAAAAAAATTTAA